AAGCCGCCTGCAGCACATGGAAGATGTTGAGCAGCAGCGGCACGCCGGGGAAGGCACCTCGAATCGCGTTCATCTCCGCCTTGGTGTCGTCGGCGATGAAAATCTGCGGCCCAACAAACGGGCCCCTCCCACAGAATGCGTTGGGTGGCCAGAGGCACTGCAGCAGCTTGAGGCCCGTGAGGATGACCTCCTCTGCCTCAGAGGTTGTAATGAGGCAGCCCAAGGGCAATCCGCCAACGGGCGAGTGTGCCAGGAAGATGAAGATCTTGCAGTGACGACGATCCATTCCACCCGGGGAGTCAACGAATGCCACGTCTCCCGCCTGTGCCAACGTGTGGACGCGTGCCATGAAGGGAGTGCACACGGCGATGACACAGTTCTGCTCGCCGATCATCTGCATCCTGACGCACTCCTTGCCCAGCTCCTGGTTGTACTCGTCAGCACGCCTCAACACATCCTGCAGCATTTCATTGCCGGTGCTCATTCGGCGAACCTTCTGGAATGATTGGTAATACAAACTGTGGAAAGACATGACGTGTGTTTGAGCATGGATAAAGCAACGGACAGCTAATACAATGTAGTAATATGACAAAGGTATCAATATAAAAAAGTTAATTTTCTTAAATATTATAAAACAATCTTAACATTGATCTGTTTATGAATTGCTTTGTCAAAATCATCACCCATTAATAAAACAATTAAAGAAAGTCAGAGAGGGGAAACTGGACAACAGAATATCGAGGGCAGTTACTGAAAGCGGATCAATGAAATAAGGAGCTTCACGAAAGCACATTGGAGGGTGTTTAGAAAACTGCATTTGATAATGAACTGGAACAAATCAATGCGCCTAAACAAGAAAGTATTTAATCAGTACATATATACTAAAAGATAACAGACCGAATGAGATTTTTTTACATTACAAAAATAACAAAATTAATACTACTTTGTACGAAGTCACGCTGCAAACATAAGCACAGCCTCACACTCAGATGAGACACATATGTAACCATCCTCCCCCCTAACAAAGCATCGTGTGTCAGACACCTGAAGCAGAAGCTGATGTCCGGGCAGACCGAGCGATCAGATGCCTTGAGGCTGTATTCATCGGCAGCCTCCAACTGTAGGTCATCCTGCATCATGTCGCGTGCCACCGAGGGTGTGTAGCCAGACTTGAAGAGCCTCAGCAACTTCTCTCTTGTTTCTTTTGCCACGTCCCGGTATTTCAGGGTGTCTGCTGCCTTGATTGGGTGGTTGTGCTTGAAGGTAAGTTTCACCACCAGCGGAAAGTCTGGCAACAGCTTATCCTTGGACCTTTAATGCAGAATTAGGCAATTAGAGACAACGCTTTGTCCAATTTTCCCAGAACTAGACATCCACATCTAACTAATAACCACTATTATACATGTGCACCTTTATTCGTAGATATTGATTGAAAATAAATAAATCTGGCAAGGTGGCACTGGTTTGGAGTACTTAATTGAATGGTTCATATATATTTTAAAAATTAGCAAAAAAAGCATCAAAACACTTCACCTGCTTTTTCCCACCACCATTAAGCGCTTCAGAATGACGGTCATCACAGCAGGGCAGTTGGTGTTTTTGGTCCTGTAAGTCCTCTTGGCATCCAAGCTTCGCCTTACATTAGTTTTGTGCTGGCAACGATAACTGTTCTGAAATATAATTGTAAGTATTAGCCGCTTCAAAGTGGCAAAAAAACAATTGCACATTTAAAAATGCAAACTATTGTATGAGAAATCATAAACAGCACTTTATCTATTTATATGTGAAGCTTTAAATGGGCCTTTCTAATTGACCATAAAGCACATTTTGCATACATTAACAATCACCACTATGCAAATATGGCCATGAGTTCTACTCTATTCAGTATTTTAATAATGGTTAAATTCTGTAATTGTTCCTAAAAAAGTTTAACATTTATGAGTGCAAGACTGGTGTAAACACATGTGCATTAAACACTGGACATATCCAAGTGTACCGATTGGTGAGGTGTGCTTGTCATGCCATAGAATTGGTATACTATTTTAAAGGACTATGTTTTGATGTACATGTTGCAACACAAAGACTGCAACACACCAGACATGGAGACACAAGCATGTAATTCAGATAGAAACAGAGTTGGTGGATCATATCAAATTGATGAGCCCTTAAGATGGCAGACAAGCAAATTTAATTCTGACTTGTCGGTTTGGACTTCTGAGTTATCTCTTCATATGCACAGGCATTCTCTGGTTTCATATGAAATGTAAATTCCTCGTTAACATATTGTTACTTTTACATTTTAACTTTTTCAACTCAGTGAAGATGAACAATGCGTACCTTAAATATATTCTTACGGCCACTTTCAGGAAATGTGTGGCGAATCCTCCAGGTCACCATAGATGTGGCTTCAAACTTTCGTATCCAATCCAATGTGGCGTCTTTGTTGTCAATTGACACCCTCAACTCTGAGCAAAATTGCTCAGCAGGTCCATCTTCATAACTGACCACCTTGTACTTGAAGCCATCAGGAAGCATAGGCTTCAAATCAACAGAAACACACGCAATGTATTAGATAACAAAACTTCCGTAAAATTGTTATGGGATGGCAAGTCAATTGAGAGGGGATTGAAGACTTTTGTTATTTTGAATGCAGTTGCTCAGCAGAGGCCAAAAAGTAAAGCTACCAGCAAAACTCTGAAAGTTTGTGATAAGGTCATACTTTAAATAAGGCTTCTGCACGGAAAAGAATGGCTTCTTGATGCTTCCTTAGTCAGATTAGTAATACTGTACACTCATTCCAATAGTTTTGATAGCAGATTAGTCTATGGATAAAAGTATAATTTGTTAAATTGGATGGGAACACATACTCTTTGGTTTTTTCGGTAAAGTCATGTAGGTAGAAAAAAATAATAGATAATTTTTCGGTAAAGTCACGTAGGTAGAAAAAAAATAAGATTATGTTTTCTACCTCCGTGACTTTACCAAAAGAACCAAAGAGTATGGATTCCTGCAGTCACGAAAGCTTCAAATCAAGGATGGGAATAACTTGGAATGTCAGTCTAATACGATATTAATCATCGGCCAGGTTTTCTCGCCCAGTCAGGTGACTGATAGCCGAGTAGAGGTTTCCCTCGCAATATGCGTTCCAAAACATGGGCGCACAAAGCGAAACCGCAAAGATGCAATGCATACAGAACACGCAATGTTGTCCCACGTCCGAAAGCATGCGCATATAGCAAATAACATTTTTGGGGGAAGAAAGACACGGCAAATAAAAAAAATCAGACATATAGAGATCACGAAGATGGAAAAGTCATGGGGATGAGATTGGGAGAGGAGGGAAAAGCGAGCTTTGAGAGCGACGCGGGATGGGTGAGGGAAAGCGACAGTGTGAAAGGCCTCATTACTGTCCCCTGCGGTATCCCGAGTTGGCGTACGGCACCAAATCAAGCCACCAAACAAATTCAACCAAAAACACACACACTTGAGCGCGCAAAGTTGGCCCACCACGAAACGCATCCTGCATCGTGAACCGAGTTTTAAAGGCGCGCCTCATTATGCTCGTCAACCACAACGATAACATTAATAATAAAAAAACCACAATAACAGCAGCAGGCGATAGCAAGAGACCACGAGGGCCCACTTCCACATCGAGGCGCTCGCTCGCCTGGATGTGGAATGGGCCCGACCCCGCGAGGCGCCCGCGGAGGGCCCAGGGCCCGCGCGCGGGCCGCGTTTTCCCCGCGGACCCGGCGTCTCCCCGCGCCCCAGGAAACCCGCGCCTCGTCTCGCCCCGAGGCCGGCGACGTGAAACGCGCGGGGGTCACGGAGTCTTACACGGAGCTTGGGGAACAGCTCAGCCATATTGACCGCTTGCGAGCAGGACCGGAAACAGTTGCGGGGGAGAGGAGGTGGGGGGGCCTGGGGGGAGAGGGTGTGAGGGGGTGGGGACCTGGGACGTGGGGGAGAGGGGGAAGGGCGTGGGGCAGAGGGGGGGAGGGTGGGGGCGTGGGGGAGGGGGCGTGGGGGAGAGGGGGGGGTGGGGAGAGGGGGTGGGGTCGTGGGGGAGAGGGGGTGGGGTCGTGGGGGTGGGGGCGTGGGTGAGAGGGGGTGGGGAGAGGGGGTGGGGTCGTGGGTGAGAGGGGGTGGGGAGAGGGGGTGGGGTCGTGGGGGTGGGGTCGTGGGTGAGAGGGGGTGGGGTCGTGGGGGTGGGGGCGTGGGGTCGTGGGGGTGGGATCGTGGGGGAGAGGGGGTGGGGTCGTGGGGGTGGGGGCGTGGGGGAGAGGGGGCGTGGGTGAGAGGGGGTGGGGTCGTGGGTGAGAGGGGGTGGGGAGAGGGGGTGGGGTCGTGGGTGAGAGGGGGTGGGGAGAGGGGGGTGTGCGTTTCGCATAGCAACCGGCGCGGGATCCGGGTCCCGAATCAGAGATCCGGTTTCCATGGCAACCCCGAGGATCGGGACTCAATGACAAGATTAATCTATAATAGAGGGGTTTTTTTGGGGGGGGGGAGGGGAAGATTAGATCGCGTAAATATAAATGTTTTGTCGTTAAACCCGCCACAACCCAACATAGCCAATTATTAAGGTTTGTAACGGAAACAGAACATGCCAATTCGTTACTAGCACAGCAACCAACCGGTTGTGTATTGGAGAGTCAACCCACTGCAACATTTACAATCCGATTGTGTTTTTGTATTGTTTTCTGTTGTAACGTTCTGACCCCGTGCTCCCACCCCCCTACTGGACAAAAATAGCTTTCCGGCTCCTCGGATTCCTCCAGTTTAACACGTTGGCTTTCACGACCGTGCCGGGCCTTTTAACGACACATTTACTCGCTCTAAACGCAAAATAATAATAATAAAAAAAACCCCAGATGTATTTACGGATTCCTCCAGTTCGAATAAACATTCCTCATGCTCGTCGAGTCCAACCAGGGCACAGTCACGTGGTCGCGGGGCCACGATTTGCGCTCCCATTGGTCCAGCAGCGAGCGGCTGCCTCGCGCTTGATGACGTCGCTACCCGGAAGTTGGAAAAGCGCGGGAAGCTGACACGCGGCTTAGGCGCGGGCCCGGTCAATTGCTTACGGCTGCCGTGGTGGTGGTGGTGTCGGTGGTGGTGGTGTCACGCTAACTCTACCGGGGGGAGTATTATCGCCACTAAACACGGGCTTCTCTTGGTCGCGCCAGTAGCTCCCAGGCGGGAACTCGGCTCCGGCGAGCACTCCGCCATCCTCACGGTACAGGCGCCGTTCCTGTTACTCGGCTGTTTAACCCCCGCCACTCGCGAGCAGAATTCGAAGCCGCGCAGCGCCTGTTGTTGCATGCGCTGTTATCTTGCGCGGTACCCGATCGTTGACTGTGGAGACGTGAACGGATTGCATCGCTGCATTCACAAAGCGCGCTCGCCTCTTCATATGCAATGAGTTTTTGCTTATCTTTTGCTCCCGTGCTTTGGGAAATCTGAAGGGCATCGCTTAGTTTTTGGTAATTGCGGCCACGACTGGTACCGCTACTGCCCACCGCGGCACATCTGGGAGTCTATCTGGCTCTGCTTCATGTGTACATGGGCGCCGTGGTGGGGAGATGTTATCTCCCTCACCTGGTGTGCAGGAGGTCGTGGGCTCGATCCCGACCCTGACGCCTGCTGTATATTTGGAGTTTGCAGCGTGTCTCTCTCCCTGTGGGCGCGTGGATTTCTTCTCCGTGCCCTCCGGGGTTTTCCTCCACATTTTGAAACATGCGTTTAGAGTTTTTGGCTGGTGTATATATTTCCACGTGATATAAATCACTTCGTTGCGTTATAATTTGTGACCCAGTCGCTTCTAAAAAAAATAACTATATAGCTCAGTCGGCCTTCCCTACTAAAATAAAAAGTTTTAGTTGAGTAAAATAAAATTGTTTACATGGTGCAGTCAAGTATAGTCCGTCCTTCACAATAGCTTAACAATATGACCAGCCAGTGCATTCAAGGAATCTTTCTTATTTTCAAGGTTTTGGCCAGATGCTTAAATAACAGCATTGTCAAAACTGCCTAACAGCGTATCAAGCGGAGCAGATTTTGTTTCTGGTTATCAATGATCCCAATTCAAAAAAATCGTGATAAAGCCCAAAGGATGATGCCAAGTTGGGCTCAGGACGGCTATTACAGGGAAACCGGTCGGATTGATTTTTGAACGCTGAACTTAATCACGAAAAAGCTACTATCACTGCTGCGTGCTTCAAAAGAATAACGTTTTTTTGTAGCATATATTGCATGCTAAAACATACCAAGTCGAAACGGACGTGACAGAATAACGCGATCATATTGAGACACAAGAGTTAAGAAGAGTACAGTGCGTGAGTGGAACAGTTGTGTTATGGCTCGTGCATCTCTAACCCAATGAGTGTTGCGACCGCAAGACAATGCTTGATTATGACTGTCATCCCAGTGTCAGTACGCTCAAAAACGTGCACGCACATTGTGCGATTACTTCACCACAGCCCACTTTTGTCACGTTTGGTTTGATTGATTTCATTTCAGGTGATAATGACTGGGAACGTTATTCATCACATCTTTAGCCATATTCAATCAAATACTATTGTGGCAACACAGCGATGATTAGCAAATAGAATGTGGAATTCACTGGTTTAGAAGGACGGGGATTACCTATGTTTCTGGATTATACGATGAATCACTGACATTAATTCTGCGACTTTCAGGTTGAACGCCCGGACGAGCTGCCATGAGCAGGAAAAAGAAGAAAAATACGGAGTTGCCACAGGATCAATGCGTGTCAGAGGTCAGCACTACCACAATGTTTATTCTGGCATTGTATCATTATAACCACATGATTGCTGTCTATCCAGCCAGATGGCACTGTGGCTAGAACGCTCGACTCATGGTTGGAAAGTTGTGCCAAAATATGGGTTTGACTGTAACGCGAAGAAATCAGAACAGATGCTAAAGGGATACCCATAAAATCTGTAAACCAAAGACCCACTTTAAGGGCTGTCGGGAGTAGCTCCGTGATATCCACTTCGGTGGGACATTTTTTTTACATGAAAGGTTGCACCGCTCTAGGAAATATCTACCCAAGTCCTTCCTCGTAACATTCACCAGTTATGACCATTTTTACTTCCCTTCTGTAGATTTCAGAATACGTTTACTCGTGGTAAGCAAATCACCTCTGTCGTCGTTTTTGTTAAGCCCTGTCCCATCAATCACTCGGCTGCTAGGATTTGTCAACATGCGTAACTGCGCAGATTGTGACTGCGGTGGTTGTTATTTGCCACTGCTCCACAGGTGCACAAGTGTCTGCGAGAAAGACTGTGCCATGGGGCGCTCACCGGCATCCCGTTGTACATGGAGCCCCAACGCAAGTAGGCACTGCGCATGCATCATCTTGCCGTGTATTCGTGCTCTATTCTTTTCAGTTGGATGGCGCTGGGGCTCGCCATCTCACGATACGCAGCTCCATTTTTTTTAAATGTTCGAATGCTGAAATGTACATCGAGCTCAATTGAATGGAAAAAAAACACCTACTCTCGATGGCATTTCATCACAAAATTTGACAGCCCAACCAGATTTTCACTCGCCGAATCAAAGCGGCGTAATTTCCCTGGTGTTCAAGACCACTACGTTTGTGGAGTCGCCTCCGACTGCAAGGCTACCTCATTACAAGTGTTCACAGCCTACGTTTGTGCAGTCGCCTCCGACTGCAAGGCTACCTCATTACAAGTGACACGTTCACAGCCTACGTTTGTGGCGTTGCCTCCGACTGCAAGGCTACCTCATCACAAGTGACACATTCACAGCCTACGTTTGTGGCGTTGCCTCCGACTGCAAGGCTACCTCATTACAAGTGACACGGTCACAGCCTCACACGACCGGCACTCGTTCGTCTTCTGTATTTAGCAGCAATGCTCGAGAAAGATGCTGTGTAATACATTCTCAAAAGCGATTAGCGATCGAGGTTTGCACATCTAAGTGCAAATTGAGTCTTCATTTAAGCAGTGCTTAGGAATATTCCAGACGTTAATGGCTGGAGTCATTTCAGTCGTAAAATGTAACAGTGACTGAATAGTAATTAGCTGTCACAGGCAGATGAGTATAATCCTTTTCATGCTGGGCTGCATCTGTGTGTAAATAGATGAAAGACAACTTTAGGGGGTTGTATTTATTTGCGTGAAACTCGGGCTCCTTTAGAACAGATTGACACCATTTTTCTTACCAGTCAACGTATGGGCCCTCAGCTGTCAATTGATGGGGCTTAAACAAGACCACCCAAATGTGGGAAGCCCTCCACCTCTCACAAGGAGTTGTTGTGACATTATGGATCTGGCTGAAAGGTGCAGTGCTACGGGTTCGAGTTCAAATCCTTCTAGGAGGTTTTTTCTGCAGGATTGATAAAATTATTAACTACCGTGAGAAATCAACATCGGTTGCCCTATTATGCAATGACTGGCACCTGTTTTGGGGCACGTGAAATTTCCACCAATTGTTTCCGTCGGAGTTGAGACCCGCCGCAATGGTCATTTGAGCAGGGAATCACGTTTGTCTTGGACTTGTATGACGTTTTGGCCCAATATTGAGCAGCGATGGCACTTGTTGCCCATGTCCCTGTGTGCATGTTGGCAGGCTCCTGCTGGAGATGCTCAAACGAACGACCACACAAGGGGAAGGCAATTCCGTGCTGGTGGTCGGCTCCCGTGGCTCGGGAAAATCCATGGTGAGGGCCCTTTTGAATGGCGATAAAAAGCCGCCCCCATTCCCACAGTAACCCTTGTGATTATTGAGATAAAGTTGTTCGCGTGAGGATTGGGGCCCAGTACATGCATTTGCGTGATGTCGTGTTGGCAAACAACTCGCAGTCAGGAGGCGTTGCGAGTTCAATTCCCAGTTGAGGGGCGACCTGGTTCACCTTTGACAACTGTGTTTGTCCTTTGGATAGGCTGGCCCTTGCCATGAAAATGTTGAATTTGCCTGGAATGGAACGATGTCAGTAGGTACATGGTAACTGTTCCAGGCTATGTGGACATTGCAAAGAGGTTAGAAGGACATATCCAGGGAAAAACGTGTTGGATCATTCACTGTTTCCCACTGGTGTTTAGCCTGGTCCTTGGTGCTAATTTGTCTGGTTTTGCTGCTGCAGCTTCTGAAAGGCGTGCTGAAGGAGCTGCTGGAAAACAACTCCATCCGAGAGAACCTCATGCAGGTTCATCTGAACGGTGGGTGGTACACATCTACATCTCGATTTGAAGCTTTCGTGACTGCAAGGATTCATCTTCTTTGGTTCTTTCGGTAAAGTCACGTAGAATGAGAATAAAATAATAAAATAACACAATAAAATTCTCACGACTTTTTGGCCACAACGCAAGCGGCCGTCTTCAGGTAAAAGGTACAGAACTGTCGGGACGACAGAGCTTCAATGAACGATGTTAAGATTTGTAGCGACTTTTAAGCTGGTTGGGAGAAGTGAGGCACCTTGACAAAGGGGTTTACATATCAATAGCTGAGGGATTAGCTTGTGACTGGTCACGGAAATGGCTATGTTAAAGTCAAAACCTACATATCCACAGAGGCAACTAGTAATTTAGCATTGAAATAGCTAAGGGATTAGCTTGTGCAAATAGCTGAGGGATTAGCTTGTGAATGGTCACGGAAATGGCTATGTTAAAGTCAAAACCTACACATCCACAGAGGCAACTAGTAATTTAGCATTGAAATAGCTAAGGGATTAGCTTGTGACTGGTCACAGGAATGGCTATGTTAAAGTCAAAACCTACACATCCACAGAGGCAACTAGTAATTTAGCATTGAAATAGCTAAGGGATTAGCTTGTGCAAATAGCTGAGGGATTAGCTTGTGACTGGTCACGGAAATGGCTATGTTGAAGTCAAAACCCACACATCCACAGAGGCAACTAGTAATTTAGCATTGAAATAGAAATAGATGCTTCAAAGTCGCTACGAATCTTAACAGCGTTCATTGAAGCTCTGTGGATGTGTAGGCCTTTACTTTAACATCTATTTCTGTGACCAGTCACAAGCTAATCCCTTAGCTATTTCAATGCTAAATTACTAGTTGCCTCTGTGGATATGTAGGTTTTGACTTTAACATAGCCATTTCCGTGACCATTCACAAGCTAATCCCTCAGCTATTTGCACAAGCTAATCCCTTAGCTATTTCAATGCTAAATTACTAGTTGCCTCTGTGGATGTGTAGGTTTTGACTTTAACATAGCCATTCCTGTGACCAGTCACAATCTAATCCCTTAGCTATTTCAATGCTAAATTACTAGTTGCCTCTGTGGATGTGTAGGTTTTGACTTTAACATAGCCATTTTCATGACCAGTCACAAGCTAATCCCTCAGCTATTGATATGTAAACCCCTTTGTAAAGGTGCCTCACTTCTCCCAACCAGCTTAAAAGTCGCTACGAATCTTAACATCGTTCATTGAAGCTCTGTCGTCCCGACAGTTCTGTACCTTTCACCTGAAGACGGCCGCTTGCGTTGTGGCCGAAACGTCGTGAGAATTTTATTGTGTTATTTTATTATTTTATTCTCATTCTACGTGACTTTACCGAAAGAACCAAAGAAGACATCTACATCTGTCGCTGAATTGGGTTAATGCACATAGTCATGGTTTTTCTTTGGGCAAACTTGTTTTCTCTCACATACGGAAGGAATTGTCCAATATCAGCAAAATATCACAATAGAAAAATAAGAATGTCCTGCATTGGAGGACCACCTACATGATCATGGTGTGTCCCCCGTCAGGTTAGTATAAGAATAATAAACTCCTTAAAAAAACGTTTTTTTTTAAAACAACGGTTTTATTCACGGTCAAGAAGTACGTCAATGATGCGGCGCCTGCTCCCACATCAACGCTTACTTGAATTAATTGATTACTTACATAACTCGTTCACACGGAGTAGGCGCGCCTGAGACACGTGGCGCCTGAGACACGTGGCGCCTGCTTCTTGGGTGAGGCGATTAGGGGCCGCGGCGTTTTTGACTGCCACAAATATATATAATTAACAAGTCGTCCATACAAAATGTTAATTGCTTTAAAGGAGGCAATTCATAGATTCATTGATGCAGAATTTGATACAGGCATGCATTGTCACCGGATCTGAGTACGTGTGCAAAATTGGGGATTGATTGGAAAACGTGAAGTGGACGAAATGTAGATTACAAGATTTGACGACGATTTGACCACGACACAGGAATCAAGTTAAGTAAAACCGTTGAAAAAAGTCAGCCTTGCTTGGTTGCCGTGAGTCGGTCGTGCAAATTCCGCATTTCTGTAAATGGGCACCCTTCTATACTGAGGATGAAAAACTGTTTACAGCTCATACAGCGGTTGTAACTTTAATGACTGTGGAGGAAGCTGCTGGACCTAATGGAGTTTAAATCTTGACTTAAAGCTTTCGTGACTGCAAGAATTCATATCCCTTGGGTCTTTCGGTAAAGCCACGTAGAAAGAACAAATAGATAGAACAAATATTTGTTTATTTGTTCTATCTACGTGGCTTTACCGAAAGGCCCAAAGCATACTAATGGAGTTTGCCCATTGGTCCATGGATTAAAAGTTACATTACTTTGGTGATTAAACAATCCACCAAACCTGTTTACTTCATATTGTCAACAAATGTGTGTGTGTGTTGAGCGCTACTGCAATGGTTAGCCACTTTGTTGAGCTATAATTTGTGGCCAGGTCGCTGCTGAAAAATAAGTTCATACCTTAGTGGGATTTACCTCCTAGGAATGGGATGGTTTATTTTATTTGTATATTGTGGGTGATTTGTCTATCTTTCTTGTACTTGGCACTACTGTAATGTTTTTGTATTGTTTGTTGTTCTTGTAACGTTCTTACCTGCCCCAACTGGACATTTGTGAAAATGAGCTTTATAGCTTTTCAGATTCCTCCAGTATAAAGAAATATTCTGATTCTACTTCGAGCACGCTGCGCTACAACCCAGTGACCCGAGTTCTATTCCCGCTCATGGGCAACACCAGTGACGATGATCTGAATCGGTCCTGGGCCTCCCCTAGGTCAACTCGGTCCCAAATGAGTACCCGGTGCGATGTGTAAACATCGTCACTGGGGAGACAAAGGTGGCCGGGGGCGTGGTGCTGGCCAGCCACTCCCTCATGTGCCTTGCCAGCCTTCAGCGCTTGCCCCAACATTCTGTTAAAGGCGATATGGGGGATCATTGCCTTTGCCATTACAAATGCAGTGTGCAGCTTGTGAATGTGGCAGTGGTGCTCTCACCGCACTGTGTGCACGCGCATGTAGCTGCAGGCAGAGTAATTAATGCCACGTGGTGTGCCTCTACTCATGCGCGTGCTGTGCGCTCGGCTGTCGTCCAGGCCTCCTGCAGAAGGACGACCGCATTTCACTCAAGGAAATCACGCGGCAGCTTCAGCTGGAGAACACAGTCGGGGACAAAGTGTTTGTGAGCTTTACACCCACGTCCTTCTCAAATTGTACGAGCAATGCCGCGTGCCGGGCCAGTGTTGAAATGCCGGCGGTCGCTGCTCCGCTGTGTGATTCATCAAATAGCCGTTAAGTAATTGAGTAGGAGTGTGTTTTGCACAATTTGAGCTTTATTAGTGTTCTACTCTATCGTACCGTAAGTGCAAATGTATTTTAACTGCTAAACCTGTCCCTGACCAGGCAGGCTGGTGGAGGGACTGGGAAATTGGAAGTTGCCAAGGTGTGGAACAGTTTCTTACCCGAGGTTGTACACCGATTGTCTTCCAGGGGAGTTTTGCGGAGAATCTCACCTTTCTGCTGACAGCATTAAAAAGCGGTAAGCGTGAACTATTGTCTCGGGTCCCTCTTGATAAATGAAAGCTTGAAATATTTAAATAGTGGCATACTCGTAGTAAAAATAATTACCAGCTTTAATATGACAAAGGCGTGAATTATACTGGCCGGGAGGTGTTAAAATCCTCGTTGGGTTTGATTCGCTCGGTTATTCCTCTACAGTTGGTAAACCCAGCCCCACTTTTTTGCTGCAAGTTAGAAGTCATCATCCTATTAGATTGAAATGCAGCCCCGAAGTAAAATTGGGATTAGGCAGCACACATTGTATGAGGTGGTGTGGAGCAGTAGTGCAGTGCTTTGCACACTGCTACGAATCGGGCGACATGGGTCTGATTCCCGGCCATGGATAGCTTTACCGGACCACCCCATTCACAAACCCACGCTGACCAGCGTGGTGAAGTATAGTCAAACAACACTCATGACTGACAACTGGTTGTGGGGCGATCTTCATTCTGCATCGGACGAATTAATCGTTGCTGTACACCAGTGTTCTTTGCGTATTTTCGGGGGGGGGGGGGGGGGCGAGGCGGTGGCGCTTTGGCTGATAAGACATCAGGGTGAGGCCTGCCACACATTTGAAACCATTGGGTTTGACAGCATGATGGGGGGATTTTTACATTTGTGTATTGCCAGGGCCGTACTAAAGGCCACCAAGGCCCGTCAGTGGCCCGCGGGCCTTGCAATGAAGAACACTGATTTAGATTGTTGCCATCGTGTGGGTATGGCAACTGGAAACCGGGAGCTGGGTTTGTATGCTACGTATGTATGTTGATCTTCCCTCACACCGTACGTTGCCAATAAACTGTGTCGTGTGCAGGCGAGCGGAGCAGAACTCGCCCTGTGCTGTTTGTGCTGGAGGAGTTTGATCTGTTCGTCCATCACAAGAACCAGGCACTCCTCTACAACCTGTTCGACGTGGCAAAGTCTGCCCAGACGCCGATTGCTGTAGTGGGACTCACATGCCGCTTGGTAAGTCCTGTTGTGAACGCATTACAAATGTTTACGTGTGTTTTATACTTTTTTTATTTTACCAGTTAAGGCCCACTGAACTATATATAGCTTTTTCAGAAGCGAACTACTCACAAATGATAGCTCAAAAAATGACTTATCACGTGGAAATGTATAGCAATCAAATACTCTAAACGCATAGCGATTCTAAATGTGGGAGGGAAAAACCGGAGGATCCGAAGAACAATTCACACGACCACAGGAAGAACGTGCACACTCCAAATATGCAGGCGTTAGGGTCGGGATCGAACCCACGACCTCCTGTATACCAGGTGAGAGAATTAACATCTCACCATCGTGGCGCCCCCTACCTTTGTCCTCCAAGCTGTATGAATGGGTTCACTGCAGTCGTGTTGATGAGTGTATGTGGACATCATGGGTGTATATATACATACACGTGTGCAGCATCCCCTTTTGTCAATCCATTGCTGGATGAAGGCTTCCCCACCCCGTGGGGTTATTTGACCACACTTTACCATCCTGGGCAGTCGGTGAAGATGGGCAGTGTCTAGACTTAAAACGCAGCAGTTTGTGTTGGACTGCCCTCTGCTGCCCACCCTGTAGACACGCCCTCTAACAACAACGCCCTGTGCATAGTAGTTGCTCATCCAAGTACAGTCCAGGCTCGGCCTTCGTGCCCGCAGACATTGGCAAGATCGGGTGCACTGAGGAGAATCGGGCACATTGAAGAGAATGCGGTGGCGCTACGGTGGAGAGCCTTTGGAAAACAAAATTTGATTTAAAAAAATATGACGTTTCTGTGCATGTTACCCACATGCCACGTTTATCAGAAAATATGCACTATGGGCAGTCCTCGACTTACGAACGGGTTCCATTCCTCAGACCCGTTTGTAAGTCGAACGATTCGTAAATCGGAATGCAATAATGCACTGTATTTGAATGCCCAAACGGTCAGTGTTGTGAAATGTGTTACAGTTCAACATAAAAAAGGGAAGCATTGTTAAACTTATAATGAAGAAGAAATATTGTACATTTGCCGAACCAAATAGTTCTGCGGTTCGGTTCACAAGTGCGAGTTCACATTTGCAAGTTTGACGGTTAAAAATGTATACGTTATGGAAGCTCGTTTGTGTGTTTCATGTTTCGTAAGTCTGGTGGTCGTAAGTCGGGGACTGCATGTGTATGGTTAACTTTCATGAGCCCTAAAGCCTTCCGGTAATTGAATCCTTACGCAATATAATTTCACAACTTATGCAGCTCATTGCTGAACATTTTTATTCTCTTAAGTGACTGGGCATTTGACTAGATGCTCTCGATATTGTAAGTGTCGGGTGATTGCTGCAGGAATCGTATTTGAATTCCACGATTCCACCGTAGGCAATGCCGGAATCGTGTTAAAAAAATTCCATTGACTTTCAGGGGATTCTCACAAGCTTAGCATGCCCTCTAGTGGACACCCTTGGATGACTTTGAATCTTATTTTATTGGAAATGCAGGAACCTATTGAATTTAATTAAAATCACCAAACTTTAAAATGTGTTTGGCTTGATAGCAAGCGTGCTAATGACGAGGAAACCCGCGTGGCCATTTGCTTAACGGTCTCTTAAAATTAACCAACCGCTGTTGCAGGCTCGAGCAGATGAGGAAGTTTGCGGGTGAAAAGTTTTTATTCCCAGATATCCGATGGTTGCTGGAGCACCGTTGGCTATAGTGGGAAGTGAGCCCTCTCAGCTGGTCTGGCTGTGTGTGTGTGCACACCTTGAGCTCAGTTACGTACTGATTAATCACCCGCCTTGGCCCACTGCTGAGCGTCACGTATCCTGACTTTTAATCACTCGCTCGCAGGCTTCATGAAGCTCGCTAACAGTCTTTAGCATTAGTTGTCCCATAGAGAGACTGGCCCCTGCCAGATAAATGTGGGATTTCCACTGCTGACTCATGGCTGTAAATTTGAGATGAGCACTGCCCTAGTTCCTGTTTGAGCAGGGTGACACTTGGGCTGAAATGAATTTAATCGGAACAACTCAAATGCCTCTGCTGACTTGAGGGTTAGTTACTAAAGTCAAGTAGAATTGTATTCCCGCACAGGTGGGTGCTGACCAATGCTCGCCTCATTTAGCGGTGTTGTGCCAGCAGTCGAAATTCCACATCCCTATGGTGGGGGGGGGGTCAAAATGTACGTTGCATAAAAAGGTTTAAAAGAGGATTGCAGTCGGAGTTGAATACGAGGGACCATGGGAATGTCCACAGCTGCGCATAGGTGTGGTAAAACAAAGAGTGGATTTTCAGTTCAAAGGACATTACTTTTAGGAAGCATTATCAAATTTTTACGGCAGGATTATTTGATTTAGTTTTTTTTCCATTTACAGTACAATAAAAGATGGAGACTTCTTAAGTCAACAGCAGCCATAAATATATTTAAAACATAACGTGACCCATACTGGCAAGGAAAAGCAACAGGAAAATTTGTTCAATCATAGTCCATGGTAATAAAATAAATTTACGTGCACAAAGGGTACATGGAGTAGAGCCTTGGAAATGTGCTGTGAAGTCTGGGCATCGTGACTTCCGCGACCAAGGTAAACTACGGTGAAGTTCACGACCCCACCGGGGACGTGACCACCGTCCACCCCGTCCGGCCCCGGTTGCCGTGGGTGCGTCGCGTGGCTAACGCCGTGTCCCCTGTGGCCCCCGCCCACAGGACGTGCTGGAGCTGCTGGAGAAGCGTGTGAAGTCGCGCTTCTCCCATCGGCAGATCCACATCTTCCCCTGCCCCGAGTTTGACGACTACGTCGCCGCGTTCTGCCAGACGCTCACGCTGCCGCTGTCCTTTCCGGACGTCGCTTTCGCCAAAAGTTGGAACGACAGTGTCCAGGTGAGGCTCGCGTAGCCCGACCACCCGAGGGTGACGCACGGTGACGAGATGTTTTAACTCCCTTGTCCGGTGTACAGGAGGTGGTAGCTTCGATCCCGACCTTGACTCCTGCTATATATTTGGAGTTTGTACATATCTCTCCCCCGTGGTTGTTTTTTTCCCTCCGCATTTAGAATAAACACGTGTTTTAGAGCATTTGGCTGCTATACATTTCCACGTGATAAGCCACTTTGTTTAGCTATCATTTGCGATAGCCAGGTCGCTTCTAAAAAAGAGCTATACAGCTCGGTGGGCCTTATCTGGTAAACAAAAAAAAGATTAGTTTTAGCGTGTGGCACGTGTCAGAGTGCACCGGGGATGTTGGCCCAGTGGCCTTTGTGTGACTTTCCAGGAGCACATTTTTCCCATCCCCCTCAGTGCTTGCATGCCATTAGGCAGCATGAATGCACTGCATTGCTTATAAAAAAATATATATTGTGTTGAACTGAGTGAACTGATGGTTGAAGTGGCCTGAATCCTTGGAGTCACGTACCCACCTACATAAGCATTCGGTGCGCGTAAACAGTGGGCATGCGGTGTAGCTCCCAATGAAATAACACGAAAGGTCGGTGTAAACATGATAAAATTGCGGTTACGGTTATAACACAATTTGTACCGGGGTCTGTTATCGAGAAAATAACTAGCACGAATCATAAACCCTAAAAAAAACATGCAGAGCGTTATCGTTGTCGACAGGTCATCATGCCCCATGGCACCGATGCCTCCATATACCGCCGTCACTTCTGCCTAATCCCACATTGACCGTGTTGCACAGACAACACCCAACATCCCCGGTGCACTCTTACAATACAATCTCTAGGTCCCCACTCAACGACCGTCTCTGGTAGTCTGCAACTCTTGTCCTGCACACATAACCCCAATACTATCACGTCTACGAATCCGTGAACTCGCTACGTATTTTTATAAACGTACATACATATAAATAACCAATTACCCTGTTTGGTCTTCCTCAGTGCGCTGCAGTCTTTTAAAAGCATTTTAACACTTGGGCTTTCGCATGATGAAGCTGGTTGTAATAACCAGTGAAACGGCTTACTCATTGTAAGTGTTGTGGGTTTACTCTCCACAACACCAGTGTGGTGAACGAGTTAATAACTGGCACGTTTTTTAAAAATATATTTTTTTGGACTCTAAAACACTGAGTTATGCCTGTCTTCGTCTTTATTCATATTCGGCTATTGGCTCTCGTCATTGTCCCAGTTAGAGACCCCTCTCTTCCCAATTGAGTCCGCAATTACATGATCCTTAGCCACCATTAAAACCCTGCCATACGCGTGCAGCACACCTCCGATTAGCACGGCTGGCTACGTATGGTGCGAAAGAAGTTCAACAAACATACATACAAACCTATGTGTGGAGGCCATAATTTAGTGCAGAATGTGAACAATGAGTTCGAAGGCAATGCATTTTAACATGCCATATAATGCAATTTGTAATTAATAAATGCAGCACTGCATTATGAAAGTCTAAGAAATTAAAACAAATCTTGACAGCCATTGCATTGAGATGAATATGCAATATATTTTAACGCTTTTTGTTTATTTAAAGGGGATGTAACACCCTACTGACTATTTAGATTGTGTGGGAGTGTGCGTCCTTGTACCGCCTAATATATTATCCCGACTATTTAATTCCAATCTTAGTGGAAGCTCATTTGTGGTACAAATCCAATTAGCCGTGGTTAATTGGTCCCATTGTGTAGCTTCCCAGGCAAACGAGAGGTTGCTGTGAGGTTGCCATGGAGATGGCACGTGCGGATGAAGCACATTTTGTGGCCAAGGTTTGGTGGTTCCTATACTCGGCCCACGAGATGGCCGCCCACATTCCACAGCCACGACCGGCAGCAGCTCAACCACCGCTTTCAACCCCGTCCCCCACTGCCGCAATCGGCCATCAAAACCCCACAGCCATCACCCGCCGCCTCCATGCGACATCACAACCAGCCACCACTGTCACAGACATTCACCTGCAACACCCCACAACCACCACCACCACCACCACCCACCCACCTCCCATCGCCTCCACACATCACCACAACCACCTTCATGGATCACCACGATCAGTGATCGATATCAGACAATCACATCCACTGAAGAAGTGTCCCGAAACAAAGCCAAATTCGCCTACCATAATAAAATGAGCAAGTGGTAGAAATTTCACATGTACGTAGGGCCTTGTCTCTCCAACAGACAACCAAAATAATAGTGATATAAAAAATTTAAGGACTTCATGGAATGTGAAAACCTTTATATCCACACACACCGAAATACAGGTAAACATGAGGAGCGAAGATGAATGAGTGTATTCCTTCTGACTCTCACGTAAGCAATTCAGAATCAGAATCTTTATTTAGACTGGAGGAATCCGATGAACTATGAAGCGCTTTCACGGATGTCCAATATGTGCAGGTCAGCAAGTTGCATCAGCAAACAATACAAAAAACTATAGGAGTGCAAGATAGAGAAAATGGTAAGAAAATCACTAAATATAAATGAATAACAAATTTATAGGTAAGCTTATATTATATAAGTCCGATTTATCAAGCATCGGCAAGGCAGCAAAAACAACATAACGGTCCCAGACCACACCAAGATAACACACAGCAGTAGTCCCTCAATAAAATTGCATGTTAACATTGAACTATGGGCACACACGTAATGATCAAAGTTACAAATGTGAATTGCTCACGTTTGCGAGGCTGGAGCCAGGTATTACCGCATAACCGCTGATGTAAATTATATCATCTAGCTCTTGTTTCCTTCTGCTCAACGCTTTGGTGAACTGAAGTTTTTTTTTTAACCAGAGTTGACCGAGGCCGATGTTTCCCTTGCAGATGCTGAGCGAGGACCAGGCGGTCAGGGAGGTGTTGGAAAATCAGTACTTCATGAGCAAAGACGTGCGTTCTCTCCACGCGCTACTGGTAAGAACCGCGCGAGCACAGAGGGGACAGGGCAGACCTTCTGACACATGGCCACGTTTTTCACTGCGAGTTGGGAATATTGAGGTGGCCAAGTGGCTTGGAAGTTAGTCCCGGGCTGGCAATGCCGAAGTCTTTAGTTAGAATCCGAGTACGGTACACGGCTCCCGGCATACCACTGTAAATGATTTCGATCTGTTGATCTGTACAGTAACACACACACTATACAGACTAATACATTGACAGAAATATAAATATAATGTATCATACATCGATAGCAACATGGGGTTATAGTTATTTTTTATGGTTTGGAGCTAGCAGTACTGATCAGTTGACCTGACCAGGGCTCTCCCAATTAGTCTGGCTAGTAGAGGTTTCACTGTAGATCGCATTAGAAAGCCATCATTGACAGGAATATGCGATTATTTGGAGGTCAAATCAACATCAGTTCGTGTGAAGAATATAATAACCAAAGTAATAAGATTCTTCTGTGCACGATTGCCTTCGGTTGCTTCAAAGACGTGTTTGAGTCTTCTGCCAGCAGAGGCTGCCTATTTAGCAAATCACTGTGTACCACCACTGTGTGTGTGTGTGGTACACAGCGTACAGTTATTCAGCACAATTTATTTCAGTCAGTCATAGTCTGGATTAAAAACAATTATTCTGGGTCAAGTCGACTTCAGCAGTCAGTGTGTGGTAAAGCACTCTTTAGTTATTAAATATTGGTATGAGGGTGTGTGTGCAATTCACCCCCCCGCCCCACTCACCTCCACGTCTATCAATCGGTGAACTCAGTACGGTTTTTTCTATACGTCTTTACATATATATAGCCAATTAACAATTTTGGTCTCCCTCGAGGTGCTGCAGTCTCTAAAGCATTAGTTACCCCTGTCTGCGTCTTCATTCAGATGCGATAATTTCCTCTGGTCGCTGTCAATCGTGCTCGGGTCTCTCGCAGGCAGTCATAATAGTCATCGCCACGCTCGATGATTTTCGTCCACTTGCGGTCACATCACAGACTAAAATAAACGCCTTTTGGCGTTATCTGGTCGAGCACCAATTGGGTCGAGGCTCAAAAGAAAGCCGTCCCTTGGTGTGGACCAATCAATTTCAAGGACAATGCATATGTTATCATAGTATGTTTTTTGTTTGCATTTTGACTGCAGGTATTGTGGTTAATGCAGACATGAATCCTTGTAAAAAGGTTTCAGTTTTGTTGCCAGAAAAAAAGGGGAAAAACCCTATTATTACATTTTGGTACTGGCAAAGGAGGTCTAATGATGTAGATGCTCACCCCGAGCCCTCATTACTTTGATAGTGCATTGTCTTTGAGCTGTGTGACGCCTTTTGGCGTCATCTGGTCGAGCACCAATTGGGTCGAGGCTCAAAAGAAAGCCGTCCCTTGGTGTGGAAAAATCAGTTTCAAGGACAATGCCACATATATTATCATAGTATGTTTTTTGTTTGCATTTTGACTGCAGGTATTGTGGTTAATGCAGACATGAATCCTTGTAAAAAAAGGTTTCAGTTTAGTTGCCAGAAAAAAGGGGGAAAACCCTATTATTAAACGGTGTGTAGTTGACGATTATTATTATTTTTTACTGTCGCTAATTTAATTTTGTGTTGGTGCTGCTCCCGCACGTCTCTCGCAGATGCTGGCTCTGAGCCAAGTGACTCTGAGAGCCCCAAGGATATCCGCCGCTGCACTGCAGGAGGCCGGCCGGCTGCTGACAGCCGACTCTGTAACCAACCTCCTGCAAGGTGATCTGTAGCGGCGCGCAAACGGTGCTCGTAATGAGCACCTCCGATTGGCACGGTTGCTGACGTACGGTGCAAAAGAAGTCCCAACGTACAAACATACGCCACGTGAGCGAATTGAGGCGGCGCAGGTAGCTGGGCAGAGACGGGCAGGATAGCGTGAAGCAAATGCATTTGTAGCAAGAGAATGACCGCGGAGGGTCCAAATGGCTACTTGACTACGCAGTTACCGGTTCGCTTGACGACGAAGCGCTCACCGTGGAGGTGGAGCGATTTACGTCGGCTCGTGCGCACGTGCTCCGGATGGATCGTTGCATCCCAGGACTGTGAGGGATGGGGATTACTTGGCGACGACCCCATCCGGCACATCGGTTAATCGTGGCCGATGTTGACCGTGGTGTGGATGTATATAGAACATCTTGGGCATCGTACATAGCCAACCGTGCCAATCGGAGCTGCATGGGGAAGGACAATAAACGAAACACAAAAAGCACTTCTAAAGAGATTCGTTTTCAATCTAGATTTTAAATTGTATAGCTCCCATTGGCTTCTGATTATAAAAGCAAGCTTTTGTAAACTCACGACATTTGTCGTTCCAAGACGTCGTTATTTTTTTTGGTACATGGCAAACGGCTCGGCAGTGCAAGGGGGAAAGTGGCGTCACTGTGAAGCTGGGTCGCCGAGAACAATGGCGCCCTGAGGCCGTACCCTGTCCTATAGCGGCTTCACCGCTGAATTTCACGAGTGGCATGGTTCAAGCCACTGTTAGCTTTCAACTTGTGACATTCATATAAGATTACATGTGCGTTTGCATAAACAAAAAATACCCTTTTGTAAAGTACACTGGCATTGTCGTTATGGTTTTTTTTTTATTTAAGCCAACACTCGTTCACATAAAACTAGGAAATTTGAACCACCTTACTCTCATATCAGCATGGAGACACTGGGATTTACTGGCAGAGCCTATAGCTATCGTGCAGTCGTCTTGTTTCGCTGTGTTAAACCTGACGCAGCATGACATTTGTTGTTTTTATTTGCCATGTGATGCTGTCGCCGTTGTTCATTGTCACGATTCGTGGCACCTAATTACAGTTATGCACGAGCCTCGAGGCAGTTTTACGCGTGAAAATAGCTTTAAAAAAAAACAAACAAATTGATAATGATCACGGGATCTTAATTCTGCATCGCAGAGAGGGTAAACGAATTTGGATCGAATGCGTAACGTGTGTACAGGCAGCCGGGCATCCTCTTGGTCGGCAAACTCCGTCACTTGGCACGTTGGGCTGGAGATTGATGTCACAGTATCTTTTATAAGGTGCCTGGTTAAATTAACGGGGAATTGTGAAAGTGTGCCGTCGGCTGAAATTCATAGACAGTCGAAGTGATTCCCTGCGCAAATGAGCATCGGGACAGCGCGATTCTCTGCCCCATAGCGGCTGCCCATTCCATCTACAGGACAGGACTAATGCTACTAGCTTCCTGCAAAGTGGTGCTATTTTATTGACCCTGTAGGGATTTTGATGATGGGCTTTAGTTGACTTGAATTTCAAGGACTCTGTTAAGTGGTGCCACCGATGGCATCCGGCGGTTCGGAGGTGAGAAGTGCTGAGCCAGCACTGCTGAGGTCCCTGGGTTCAGTATTGGGCAGCCACCCTTGGTTAAACGGGGTTCTTGAGATTAGTGAGCTGATGGTTTCATCCCAGTCACCAATGACTACAAAAGACCACCATTTCAAATATCATTCTGGACTAATTTTCGTGGAATTACAGCTCTTGAGAATTAAAATATTACTTTTACTTACGAAATTCACATTACTCTTGGGCAGGGCAAATGGGAAAGTGCTTCCCGCTACTGTGTGGATCGAGGCCACTCTGCGCGACCTCCGAAGTAATTCTCTGACACCAGGATTGCACCGCTCTGCGAGAGTCCCGGATGGATCCTCCGTCCTGTGAAATAAAAATTAATAGCACAATGGTTGACGAAATTGAAAAAAAGAGACAAAAAAAATGTTGATGTAAAAAGAAAAAACTGTGGCATCCATCACAACAGAAGGCCATTGTGCGTCTCAGGATCACGGCCTAATCCTGAGCTCTGTGCCCTCCCTTCAGGGGTGTCCGTGCTGGAGTTGTGTCTCATCATCGCCATGAAGCACCTCAATGACATATACGATGGAGAGCCCTTCAATTTCCAAATGGTCTTCAACGGTAAGCAGCGAGCACCTGCAGTGCCGGAGGAGAGGCTGTCTGTGTTCAAAGAGCTCTTCGCCACATCCTGCTTTCTTCCAGCCCAGCTTTGATATCGGGAGTAGACAAAGACAAAGATCCCCCCGCGTAGCCTTGATGGACTCGAGGGGCACGTCCTGTTTGTGAGAACCTATGAAGGCCGGCACGGCACACGAGGGGGTGGGTGGGTGGCCAGCACCACGACCTTTGTCTCCCCAATGGCGATGCCTTTGTCTCCCCAATGGCGATGTTTACACATCACACAAGGTACTCATTTTGAGGCCGAGTCGATCTAGGGGAAGCCCAGGACCGATTCAGACAAGCGTCGCTGGTGTTGGCCGTGAGCAGGAATCGAAGTCGGGTCGCTGGGTTTCGTAGCGCAGCATGCTAACCCGTTGCGCTACCGCTCCCGGGGTAGGCCCACTCCTCCACAAGCATCACTCGGCCAGACTGGTGTTGATTAATGGAATGCGTAAATGTGTCTCCATGTAAATGGGCAGTTCACGCACTTGGGAGTCATCAGGCCTCTGGCACGAGTTTTATGAGGAATTCCCGAGCCAAAGGAAGCGAATCTGTATCATAATTCACCAGCATCAACTGTCCAAGACACACACTGCCTTCACACAGACACGCTGCCTTTAATTGTGGATAACCCAGAGAACGTCGTCATCTGTTCATCATGTGCAAACAACGAGTTTCTCGCGTAAGAGGCGTTTATCCAGTTGATACAGGTTTTCGTTTGTATTAAAAAGCACTCGTCGAAAACGAATTGGCCAAATATCGCAATGTAGTGCCCTCCTGAACAAGTTACGAATCTCAAGTGATGTTGGAACACCGCTTGTGTCCAGGTAGGTGAATTTAGCCACGGATGAACTCGAGAATTTTTTAAAATTCTATAAAGATCTACAGTGAACAAATATAATTGCCATGTAATCTTCAGACGATCATTTTGGCTTTCAATGCAACTGTCAATGCTAGATAATTTTTCTAAAAGTTTAAATCTCGTGTACACATCCACGTATGTACAACATACATTTTCCCAATGTGTATATGGTGGCAAGATATTTAGTAAAATCACAGCAGGCACCAAAACGATAGCACACAGCCATTTGTTTCAACTAATTAATAATGTTGACAACTCCCCCAGGCAACGCAACCATCTCCAAAAAATCCCACATCGTCCATTACCATCGCTCTCACGCCCATGCCTCCTCACTTCCAATCTATGGAAAGAAGACTCATGGATGTGGCTACGACCCTTTAGGGCATCCTGACCTCCCCCGTGACCCCTGAACGAACACGCTGTGTGCCTGACACAAGCCCTGAGGGTTGTGTCATCTTTAGCTCGGGTTTCTTGAGCTCGCACCGGTGGGCTAACTGGAGGAAGGAGCAACAGACATTTTAAACGTTCGTTTTAAATGGAGGCAATTACTGAGAGGCAGCCCTGATGGTGTCATCTTGCTTCTTTGCTCCTCGCTCAACCTACTGAGGGCTGTGACCTCCTTTCATGGCAGGGTCAGCACATCGCATGTACAGTCAACTCTACTGAAGTGCTGTCCACGTGGTGGTTAGTCTTCTGAAGTGAATTGGTTTTTTTGCTAGTCCACCTTCCTTAATGGTATGAAAATAGAAGTAAACTAAGCTCTTTGATAGTTCAACGAAGTGGCTTGTGGAAATTTATAGCAGCCAAATACTCTCGATGGGTGGAGGGAAAAAACCGGAGGACCTGGAGAAAAATCCACGCGACCAGGTAGAGAACACGCAAACTGCAAATATACAGCAGGCATCAGGGATGTGATCGAACTCATGACCTCCTGCATACTCGGCGAAGCAGATAATATCTTGCCACCGCAGTGCCCCAGATAACAGGTGAGCTTGGGCAGTATACGTTGCTGTTGGTCGATACGGCTGGTGGTCCAGAATAACGACACGGCAGGCTGGGAAGAGAGGTAATGCGCCCGAGACCACGCGCTGCACCAGGGAGACAAAGCGATGAAATCAGCTCTTGTCTAGAGGCTGGGAGGATCGTTACATCGTAGGACTGTAACGGATGGTGACGGCCTGGGGGGGAAGGCCTTCATCCAACAATGGCTCATTTGTGGCTGATGATGATGGTAAACATGAGGATGTATGCATTTCAACATTTATACGCTCCCTACACAAGCATTTGCTACAGTGATAGTTATGTCGGTGTACTGCAGGACGTTGTTCATGTAGGTGCACTTGCAAAAGTGGTAATGTTTTGTGCGTCTCGATGGGCTTGTTTAACCTCCTGGTTAACTGAATGTTTGTAACTGACAATCAGCTCAACTGTCCGGCCACCAGACTTCTGCCCCTACCACCCTTCACCTACCCTCATCCATGCCCAGCCATAGCACCTATCCCCGCTGCCTCTCATCCACGTTGCACCCATCTGTCACCCTCATTCATCATCACACTCCACCTTATTCCTCCTTCCCTACCCCTGCAACAACATCGGTTCCATTCCCAGCCCCTGTCCCTCCATCCCTTCCATCACCTCTCTCGCCGACAGCCGCTCCACCCCACCCGTTGCTCCCCTTTTGCCCCTTGTGTACCGCCGTCGGCTTGTGTTGTTAAGTGCCCTGAAAAGGGGCGCTGCTGTATAAATGCTAAATATAATTGTCGCCCGTTTTAACTTGAAATTTTCGTTTCCCAATTGTAGCGCGGTACTCGGGATTTTATAGGTGATCGGCAAGCCCACGTGACTTTGATCAGCAGGCCCAAGCAACTCTCATTGTTTCCCTTCCCTAGAATACCAGAAGTTTGTCCAGAGAAAAGCCCACTCGGTGTACAACTACAACAAGGCAGTGGTAATGAAGGTAAGTTGTCACCGTTGACATATCTTACGTGCGGCGTCCTATCCGTGTTGACGTCACAGGTGCTTATTTGGAAATGCGCTTGATCGCCTCTTCTTGAGTAATCAAATTCGTTGTTGCAGAGTTATCTTCCCATTCTAATCGCTCCACACCCACTGTGGACATCCTCTGGCTCGTTTCTCCTTTCGCTGCTGTTATGACACCAGCCTCACCTTTTGGGTCAACAATGCCTCCGAGTGATGTAGCCTGCCCAAACTCACTGAAGAGTGCGGGAGAGCGAGTGAGCACTTAATCTGTAGAGCAATTAAGCGTGCCTGTGCATGGGAGAATGGGCAGTTTAGGGGTAGACCAACCGATGCCATGTGAATGTGGAATTTCTCTCCTGGCTAACTGCTCTCAACAAACTTGAGTGTCACCTCTCTGCTAATTGGAGTCGGAGGACACTGGCTTGACATGCTTGTAAGATATTTGGCTTAATTGTAGCATTGTGGCATAAAAAAATGTTTTTGCAAGATACATTTCTGCTTTGGAATTTCAGAATGGAATGTTTTTAATAACAATGATCAACATTTATCCAAAGTTGAGCTTGTTGGACGGATTAAAAAACAAATTGGTCCACACTGCCAGAGCACCTAAGCCTCTGAAATGCAGGCACGCAGACGGCACAGCTGAAACGCAACCCCGGTGCCCTGACACTAACACGCGCGCACACGTTCGCACCCAGGCCTTCGAGCGCCTGCAGGAGATGGAGTTTGTGCATTCGGCCGAGGGTCCGGTGGGGGGACGCGGGGCCGGCAGCGGCCATGTGCAGCGCGAGTACCAGCTCATGCGGCTGCTGGTCCACGACTCGCAGCTGACGGACGCCCTGCAGCACTACCCACAATGCCCCACTGACGTGCGGCAGTGGGCCACCTCTTCACTCGGGTAGCTCGGAGGGGGTTTGCGGGGGGCGGGGGCGTCTCCCTCGTCTCGGCGTTCTTGTCGTCTCGTCTCCTGGTGGCTCCGCGGTTCACCGCGACTCTGCCTCCAGAGCGACAATGACTGCCGGCTTGCGGGCGCTGGAGCTGGCTTCAAGCTCGCCCCGTGGCGATGGCGAGAATATGGACTCTCTTGCGGAGGTGCTCGCTCGCATCGCGGAGTGGCCCCGTCGCACGCTCAGCCAGGCGAGGAGAAGTTCGCACGGAGCGGTTGAGATGGAAAAACCCCTCGCCGCCGTCTGCATTGACGAACCTGTCACCTGAAGGACCCCGGGGGTGGTGTGGATGGGGGTGGAGTTTTCCCGCCCTTTTAAACGGCCACCTGAGAAACTCCGATGGGGGGGGGGGGGGTAAAGGGGGGTTGGAGAGGGGGGAGATTTCCCAACCATTTCAAACGCTCCTTATAACAGAAGTATACACAGTAGGCTTAACATTTCAGATACTGGCTCTTCTGTTTTGAAGAAGGGTCATTGCTAAGAAAAGAAAAAAATCTTGAATTAATTTGTCTGCTGTGGGTTTGTGTTTCCTGTTGCGTGGCCATGCTTTCAATTCCGTGTTTTTGTAAAACTACTTGAGCCAGTAATGCAAATTATTTTCAACTGCAGAGTTGTGCTCCAATTGATGGGAACGTGAACGCGTGCAACGAGCTGCCACTATTTCAGTGTGTGCATCGTAAAGTGGTGATCGCTTTCGCACATTTTTTTGCCATGCATTAAGTATTTTAAAGTAACTTATACTCCGAAGAAAATAACGTGCTGTGTTTCTGACACCAAATAAACGTTGCGACAGGACTTGCTTCGTGACATTGGTTGAGATGCTCATCGGCTGAGCTTAGGGGTGGCCAGTAGATGGCAGTAGAGTAAGTAGATGGCTGACCTTTCTGCATTATCACGAATACGTTGACGGTGCATCCTTCACATGTTGAACTTCTTTAGCAACGTACGTATGCATCTCTCCACAAAAAAAAACACGTTTCTTACACAACTCATTAGATGCATGGTCTGCTGAATGTATCATTTCAATAGCATGAATTTAAGATGGGAAAACTGGACTGGTTGCAACACTTGTCTCATCAGCAGTCAGGCTTGCTTAATGCTGGTGAACTGACAATATCTGCATCATAGTTACGAGTGAGTATCCTTAAAGAACTGCAGTTATTTTCACGTGAAAAAAAAGGTTGATAAGGATTTGTCTAAATATCCCATCTCACCTTGCACACAATGCAGCAGGACCAAGCAATGGCTGCAGGTGCCTAACCACCGAGTTTGGGGGGCCCCCCTTGACAACCACCTTGAGATATGGCTTCAATAACCACGTAAAGGAACAGATTTTTTTTTAATGATGTGATTACGCAAGAAGAGCCACGATATATACCCTGGGCGCGACCGTGCGAGACGTCAAATATTTGGGTCCCACCTGACCCAATTGCTGGCACCCCCTTAAGCTGAAAATGTAAGTTACACCACTGGCAATGCCACAAGCATTTGCAACGCAAATTGACCCGATCCACCATGCAACAATCGTGTGGATGTTGCATGCACACACCACACGACCTGAAACAATACGCAACAGCCAATCACAAGCCATGGTGGTGCCAGACTGAATGACCGCACAGTTCCCTGCAGGTAATTAGCAGAGTGTTGGTGGCTATCTCATGCGTAAGCAGCGGTTCTTTAGAGCGATATACGAAGTTACAAGCTCAAGTCCCACACCACTGCTTGCCTGGGATACTCCAAACAAGGCGTATGTAGGGGGTATGCACATAGACGGCCAGCCCAAAAGTCAGGACATAAAAAAACACTTATTGTTTATTCTTCAAGTTAATATTTTTCGTTCTTTCGGTAAAGTCACGTAGAAGGGAAATAATAAAAATAATACAATAAAATTATCACGACGTTTCGATCGCAACACAAGCAATCATCAACAGGTGTGAAAACCACAGCAAGAAAATTTGAAAAAACGCCACTTTTTTCAAATTTTCTTGCTGTGGTTCACACCTGTTGATGATTGCTTGTGTTGCAATCGAAACGTGAGAATTTTATTGTTTTTATTTTATTATTTCCATTCTACGTGACTTTACTGAAAGAACCAAGAATATGAATCCCTGCAGTCACGAAAGCTTTAAATCGAAATTTTATATTTGTAATTATTTTTATTCTTCCTGTGGGGTCACCTCAAATTCGTCGCTTACAAAACTCAACCGAATGAATTGAGATGAAACAATTGATAAATATTAAAAGATTACACTTTGTAATATAAAAGTCTTAAATGCATTTCAAAAACTAATTCGTGCATGCAGTAATGTTAATGGCAGTCAGTTTGAACATTTTGTTAAACATTTAATTAAATAACTATGCGTCCTAACTTATGGGCCAACCCTCTTGTCTATTTTGTCGTTTCAAGTTCAAAGCGGGTCTCAGTCAATTTCTACTTACCCATGCAAACTCATGCTGAACAATTGCAAGCTTACCCAGACGAGCCGATTTGACGTACACACTGCAACTGGGCAGACAACTTTCAAAACGGACTTAACATTGGCTGAGCAAAATCCAGGGGCGAGTGTTGAGACTTTTGAACCGCAGTTCGTGTTTGGACAAAACTGGCCTCTCGCGTAGGAATGGGACATTTCCACCATTGACTCGCATCCATCAAAGGAAGAGCAGTGTTTACTGCAAGGAGACACCAAACTTTTTTTTACATGAAGATGTTTTTTTTATTATTAATATTTAAAGGTCAGAACGTTTTAAATACAAAAGTTTATTGTTCGGTACTAATAAGAAAAAAAATACATTCATCATCGGGTCACCAAACCCTTTTTTCATTAATGCTGGGAAATGAAACAACAAAGATGGACGGCATTCAACTGAGGGCCAACATTTCCCATTTCTGCAGCTAATTTATCTCAAAAGGTAGAAATAGTTTTTTTTCTTTTTAAACACATTTGGCATGAGTTTACATTTATCTAAAATTGTCAGATAACACTTAAGAGAAGGTACCTGTCTTAAGATAAATGTACAAACTGCAGCTCATTCTTTGCCATAAACATTCACGTTGTAGTGTGTGCGCGTGTGTTTTGTGTGTCTGTGCGCGCACGATAGCAGAACGGGAGCGGTGGTGCAGCGGTTAGCGCTACGCTGCGCTACGAGCCCAGCGACCCGAGTTCGATTCCCGCTCACGGCCAACAACCAGTGGCGATTATCTGAACCGGTCATGGGCCCTCTCCTAGGTAGACTCGGCCTCAAATGAGTTCCCCGGGGCGCCACTAGGGAGACAAAGGCGGCCGGGCGTGGTGTTGGCCACCCCCACCCCCCCCCCCTCATGTGCCACAGTGCCGGCCTTCATAGGTGCTCGCTAACAGCACTTGCCCCAACAGTCTGTTAAGGCTTACACGGGGGGGATCTCTGTCGTCTTTGTCTCGCAGAACCTTGCTTTCTCAGATCGTTACCCGCACAACTTGCTCGTTTCTGACAATCGGCATGAATTGTCCCGTAACGCCGTGGTTATGAAACCAGTGTTAGAGCACAGCACCAACGGTTCACCCATCAGCAGCAGTAAGGCAAGCTTACTGGACGCAAGATCAAAAATGTAAGGCATATTTACCTGTGAGTTTTTTTTTTAAATGGCCTTTCGTAAAAAAAAATTTGACATGTTTGCTAACAAGAACTTGGCTCTACTGTAAGTGTACATATACTCATATATATGCTGTAATTGGAAAATGCTGCCTTATTGTCGGGATAACTTTGCAGCACTTGGTTGGACACAACCTCTTCTCAGTGTGGCATAAGATCAAGTGATATTTAACACGAACATTGTGTTGGCGATAGCACGCTCAACAATGTTTTCAATCAATGTAGTTCAGTATATTTTTTCGTAAATTAATATTTCGGTTACAATGACAAGATAAAAAAAAGAATTACAGCATATATATCATCATGACTATGCAATAGATGTTTACCCAGACGAACGTTTATATATACACACACACATATATATACATTTCTGCTGCGGCACCTAGTGATGTGTTACAATGCCCCGTAACTCATCTACTTGAGCCTTGGGCCAAGTTTTCAATATTCATGAACAGAAAGTGGCAAACATATACCAGAAAGAACCACTCCTTTCCTCTCGTCATTGTTCCAGTTTTTAGACCTGGAGATGGTCAAAGAACTTTAGTTTTAGTCGGATATTTGAAGTATGAGGGGGAATTCTAAAAGTCCCCAGGCCTGACCTGCAACGAGTTATTTTGGGGCTTTAGATTGTTTTGCCAGTTCACGTGACATGAGAAATAATATTCCACTGAGACATGTTTCACGTTTGAAGATTGTAAAGAATTGACTTTAATTGTCTGCCGGTCAAATTGGAGCCTTAGGGAGGATACACCATCGTATAATGGCAACAAAAATGTGGCTGGAAAAGCAACAGCTGAGCCACGTCTGGAAAGCCAGTAAAAGTACTGATCGAACATAACACTGATGCAGTAGAAGCAAATATGACCGATGATTGGCCGTGAAGAACATCGCCGAGAAACTGGGCACAGCTGAGATGACCATCAGAGCAACAACTCTGGATTTGGAAGAGTAATGTGTCTGCCAGAATACTGTGCCGATGAATGTTTCGCGACTTTTTTTGTCCTGCATTATTGCCGAGGGTGAGACGCAGGTGGCGTTACTTTGAACTGGACTCCCACAAGTCTCCTTCGTGGAAACTACAAAATCTCCAACTTCATGGCTTCTCTATTATGGGACGCCACAGGCCATTATTAAGAGTTAATTACCTGGACCATGTACACAATCAGGAAATACTACACCGGCCCGTGGTTCAGCTTAGATAAAGGAGAAATCACGCAAACTCCGGTTATCCTCGCTGCGGCTTTTGGCTAGTCATCGAACAAAGACGCCCACTGCATCGCGCGCTTTCAGTTGCGCTTGTGGCCGTTTGGAATGTTCTTCCGATATTAGGAAGCCACTTCAGCTATGCACGTTTAAATCGAGATTGAAAACTAATTTATTGAGAACTACTTTGTGTTTAGTTTGTCGTCCTTCCCCCGCACCTCCGATTAGCATGATTGGCAACGTACGGCGCGAAAGAAGTTCAACGTACATACATACATCAACTGTTGGTAACCGGCTCAAAAACCACAATTTACGATTAAGGATATTCTGAGGCTTTAACACGGATGGGGAAAAATTTACCCGTGCGGTGGATCATGTTGAGAAAGAAAGATGGGTGCAAAAATTTTAAGATACATTTTCTGGTAGAGGGCTTTTAACACCCCTCGTATCCCCAAGTAAATACTGCAATAGTGACTTGTTTATTGGACTGCTTATTTTGAGCGGATGATTTCCTTTTAAAGGCTTGTGAGAGCTAGAGGTTATTTCCCCAGCAAAAAATCCGTGTATCGAGGGCTTTTACTCCACCGGCTTTTACTCTCAACCTGGCAACACGAACACCGATGTGCAACGCGTTCAACGGAGAGGCTCGCTTGAGTGGGAACGCTCGCACCGTCACATGCGGCACAGCAACACTCCAATCCGGTTTTGATTTCAAAAGCAAATATGGGCCACCCTATAATTGGAGACGTGCCTATGTTGAGAATAGGCGATGACAACGGCAACATTTAGTGCTCCCTGTTGGAGAAAAAAAAAATATATTGGGCCAAAGCGAGTGGTGTACAGCCATAACGTGGGCTGATTTTTTTTTCAAACAATTTAACACGGTCTTTATCGACACCCCTCGGTTTGATTTGGAATCTGTTGAAATTGACAAACTTGCCTCCCTTCCCCCTTCCATTCTCTTGCTGCGTTCTAAAAGGGCGCAGAGGACCTTTGCAAGAGGTTCAATGAACCAAAAAACCTTGGCGATAAAGCCGCTTTTAAAGGGGCTAATCCTGGAAATGAAGGCCCATGCTGACGGAAAGGTGGAGGGGACCTTACACTTTTTCTCATAAAATCCGGTGCAACATGTCCAAATGCGTTTTTTTGCTGTGCCACTGCATAGCACCACACGCGCCATTCCGATGATTTAACAGGGTTAGGACAGCGGAGTTTGTCGAGGTTCCTAGTCGTATGCCACTCAGCAGTGACCGACAACAATCTGGCTTGATGTCTCACCCCCTGGCGGCATCGTCCATTCCACTGAAGTGACAGCACACATTGCGCTGTTGCCACCTGCTTTCACTCCAGCTGGGCGAAAGCAAGTTTGATAAATTCAGGCAGAATATAAATGTTGCTTATACGCGTATTTGATTTACCGTTGGGCACGCTTTGTTATGCAGACGTGTGCACAACTGATATCATTTAATACGCACTGCATTTTCAAAACACTGAGTTAAGGGTTTTCTAATTGTCCGCCGTGAACTTTGTTGTTAGAATGCAATGTTGATTTGCACCATCCATTGTAACGTTAATGTCTACGTGCATTAATCAGTTGTACATGTTCCCCGTCACTGACCACTATGTGTGTGTTGCTCTACCTCTGCGCACAGTGGACGGAAATAGTTGGTTCTCCATTTATAACCATCCGACTGCTGTCGCGCAGGGCACGAGATAAATAATCTTCGGTGGGGGAGGGGGGGGTGGCACCTGCCTGTGCTGTGGAGGATAGTGCTCGACTCATTCTCTCAACTCATCGTAGAGGTGCGAGTTTAATTCATGGTTGGGGAGGGGGTTAACTTAGCCAGTCATCCATCTGGGGTTGATGAAGTTCATATAAACTTTTGTGAGAAGTCAATAGCGGTCGTGCTATGGAATACAGATATTGGATTTCACTATGGGAAGGTGGCATTTGCACAAATGGCTCGGGGCAAGTGGAAAAAAGCACTCCCCCACCCCCTCCTTCATTGCTCATTTAAGCAAGGGAGCAGACTTTTTAATCAACTGAATAACTCCTCTAAGAGTTATCTGAGTTAGGTTGATTAAAGCGGAAATCAGAGCAATCCACACAAGGGTATGGGGGGGGGCTTGAGGGTGAATCGAAGTGCCATCCTCGTTACACGGCAGGCACACGTGATGCCAGCGAGAAGCGTTCCCGTTGGGAGACAGAGGGCCGTGTCGCGTAATTATCGACCACCAGGGTCACCCCGTGGACTCGTCCGTTCGCCAAGAGGAGTCACCATACGACCGAGGCTCTCCATGAAGGGAGGTTTCTGATATCTAACTGACAAAAAAAGTACACCATTACATCGATTTATCTACAAGAACATCAGTAGCACAACTTCTGCCTCGATAGCGACATGAGTACAAACTACCAGCGCCGTCAATGAACTTTACATACAAAGATACAAATGCTATTTACCTGCCTGAGGTATTGCAAGAATTTTTTTAAGAAAGTAAAAACAATTCACTGTACACAGGCATACCTTTTAGGGTTTGAAATGATCAAGACACCTGCATCTGCATGCCAGCAGAGCACGAATGAAAATATCCACGGTCTGCAAAGGGTCCTTCGACATTCGCTTTTGCCACAATTGTCTATTCCAAAACAAACCTCTTGGCAAGTTACAGTTTAGATATTCACTATCATTAACATTTAACATGTCACCATATATACGTGTTGTCCATTTCAAAACAAGGTTACATTAACTTTCATACTTTAATTAGTTTAATTTGCTTACACGACTACTTTGTTTATACACGTAAAATATATGCATTCCACAAAATTGAAACAAAACTAAAAAATAAACTAAACTGTGTCCGCTTTGATACACTCTCTTAAGACTCCTGAATAACGATCAGCGATTCAGTGTCGACCATGAACCTTTGCAGGCAAGGGCTGAACATTCTGCCAAATGTTCTCGGTGTAAGGGGGTGTGTCCGTTGTGCGAGTGCACATGGTGCGCAGTACACAACACCCCTTAACAGTCAATGACCACCGCCACACGGCGACCTGGCCGGGCAGGTGAACGCACAGAAAACTTCAATAACGACCTGGCGGAAGGCCATGGGTAAATCACAGGTGAACAGAGGGGGGGAGGGGGGGAGATGGTCAGGAAGCTTTAAAAATGAGACCTGAAAACAAATAACTCACCCTCTCGAAAATAATGACAACAAATAAGGAAAGTAAATCCGCCGTGAATTGTACTTTCTCAGCAAGTATACTGTACTTGGTAAAAACTAAAAACTGTACAGTATCGATAAAAACAGAATAAGGTCGGACAAAACGGCATAAAGTACTAAAATACAGGTATTTTAAATATAAACTTTAAAAAAATGAGGTATATCTGGTTGTGAAGAGGTGGCGGTTGAGTGTGAAGTGCCCTGTTTGACCTCAGTGACCCTGTGGAAGTTTCCAAAGCAGCATTGACATTCGGTGGCTTGACAAGAGGCCGGCGATACGCTCCATGGCGGAACGAAGGGTGGGTGTCACCCGGAAAAAAATAATAATTTAAAAACGACATTGAAAGAAAAAATCACCTCGATAAAATATTCACATTACGGTTGATTTTTTTTTCATCTGAACTCAAAAGGGGGGCAACAATTTCAAATCGTAGGCACAGTGATGGGGAGTTGTAACAGGTTTTTCAGACGTCACTTGAGCCTGGGAGCCAATGCACGCAGTTCAGATAAAGCACCTGACATCGTAATAATCACGGCTTCATGTTTCACTCGGTGCAATTACCGGTATATATATATCTATTTTTTGCTGCGCGGCATTGATACAGCAGAAGGCATGTTCTTTGAGAACGTCGCCTACTCTTTAATCCAGTCTTCCCACAGCACAAGCCACACGCCTGCCGTTTCACAAGTGACAGGAACGGGCATTTTGTTTGTATTCACATGAATCACACCTTTTATTTTCTCTGTAAATGCTGCGCTGCCCTATCAGACTCTATTTGGTAGGAAGTGTTAAGAGTTGCAGAGGCTCCACGATTTATTTAGAGACGGTGTTAAAAAAATGAAAAATTCAAACCAAGGCAGGTTCCTCGCAGATATGCCATTTCTGCAAAGGAGCAATCACCGCCTACCGAAGCATTCACTTTGCCTGCGCCAGCAACGCTCGCCACTGATCAACATCGTTGACGTCTCTCGCCTACACTGCGCTCGTCATAAACACCAGCCTGACAAGCCTCGAGCAGCGGCCGAAGTTCAACTCCAACTGAAAACCGGACGACTGCTCCGAGACAACGAGCCACCGATGAAAACTAAAATAAATGCGGCGTGGCCGAGAGGGGTCGGTAGCTCGTGAGACCTGCGATCCGCTTGCTGACCGTCTACCCAGGCGCTCCCTTGCACGCTCAATCCAGGACCGCAGCTCACAAAGACCAACGGGTACCCCAAGCGACGAGAATATTTTGTTTTTTTCCTGAGATGAAATGGCATGCGGAGGTTTGAAGGCTCCACACAGCGTACGGCACGATGTGGGAGGGAACCTCGCAAGTGGCGGAGGTGGTGAGCACATTACAGCTGTACTGGAGTAAAAAATTATGAACTTGTACCTGTTTTTAATGCTTTTTTTTTGGCTGAACAGATGGCTTATATTATTGATGGTGTCCCTGGCTGATTTGTTACAGCAATAGCATCATGTATGCTGACACCAACACCAGAAGTATTGTAATTCTTGCAGTGGAGCTCATGATTTATGTTTGGCAGTGGCGTTTTTTTTTCCCTTCTGTTGTCTTCAAGTCGTTCATTAAGTCGTTCGTTAATGAATTCATGTCTGTAGCTAGAGCACGCACCATTGCCTTTGAGCACTTATCTGTAAAAGGAAAGTGTCCTGACAAATAAAATTCCGATGCACAGTTGAGGATTAACGTTAAAACGCAGCATCTGACTTTCAAAGCAGTACATTCATGGTTTTTAGTGAAGAACACAAAGTCCATCTGCGGATGACTTGCTTCGGATGCACTGTGGCGTGTTGGGAGTGGCAGCGCATCTTAAAAATCGCTTCCTGTGGCCGCTTACATGATGCACCTCCAAAGCGTGGTCCAATTAACATTTTCGAACAGCACTGCCAATGTGTACTCGACACACCGTCATTTCTCTACGGTCGGAATACTTTGTGCCCCATTGCACAGGCGGTGAACGGACGCAAGTGCAAGTCAATGACTCGTTTTTTTTCTGCACAGCCACAAACGCTGAGCACCTTCAGATCATAATGGTCACACAGCCTGGAGTCAACCAACTCTCTAGCAAGCGAGACTCCGACAGACGCTGCAACCAGCGCACGCCGGCAGCTACCTGCGCGCCGATTGTCCCCACGTTCTTCGTTGCTCCCCCTTGCTCCCGATCACCGGTGCCCGAGTGTTTACATTTCCCGCGTGTTGCCCGTGCCGCCCGGTTTGACGCTACGACAGCCGCGGCTTGGGCTCAGAGGCTGGATTCTCTCGCGGCGCCGGGCAGCAGTTCAGGATTCGGAGGTGACGCCGAGGGAACCATGATTGTGATGGTGGCATCGCCGGCGCTGCTGCTGCTGCTGCTGCTGGTGCTGCTGGTGGTGGAGGTAGTGGTGGTGGCGACGCCGGAAGCTTCTGCTACACGGCGCGCGTGGCACACCCTCTCTACCACGCAGCCGGCCGAGAGCCGAGCCTCGGCGTCGTGGTCCCAGCATTCCTCCACCGTCTCGCACAGCTGGGACAGGCCCTGGACACCACCGGCGGGCAGCACGCAAAGCGCAGAGTGCACAGGCATTGACGAGTGCACATAGGCAGAGGCCACAACATACACACAAAGATTCCCCCGTATACCCTTTAAAGACTTTTGGGGCAAGTGCTTTTGAAGGCCAGCGCAGCACACGAGGGAGTGGGTAGCCACAGCACCATGCCCAGCCAGCTTTGGTCTCAATTTTGGTGATGTTTTACACATTGCACCAGGTACTAATTTTGAGGCCGAGTTGACCTAGAGGAGGCCCAGGACAGGTTCACATAATTATCACCGGAGTTATTCGTAAGCGGGAATCGAACTCGGGGCGGCGGGTTCGGAGCGCAGCGTGCTCAGCATTGTGCCACCGTTCCAACACAGACACGTGCACGGATGCACGCAAAACACACGTGCTCATACACACACACACACAGAAGTACACATGTATCTACATACCACACATACACAAAGAACCCCCCCCCCCCACCCCGATAACCTACAAAGACTCTTGGGGCAATTAGCGAGCACTTATAAAGGCCGATATGGTGCACAAGGGGCTGATGTGGTGAACACTCCCAGTGCTGATGTTTATACTCTCAGCCAGGTAATCAATTAAGTCCACCTAAGGGAGGCACACGACCGATTCAGGCATCACTCGCCACTGATCTTAGCCGTGGCCAGGAATTGAACTTCGGACTGATGGGTTTGTAGAGCAGTACGCTAACCATGACACCGCTCTCCACAGACTCACACACGTGGAGACGCATGCACCCAGGCTTTCATTCAGTTAACGTTTTTTTTGTTTAAAATATTTTTGAGATTTTTGTTTCACTTTTTTATATGAAGCTCATTAATTAGCGAAGTGAGAGCCCACTGGAGTGATCGTAGATAAACAAAAGTTTGTGTGTTCACGGGATAATTTCCCTCGATTGACTGGAGTCATGAGAGGAATATTCGTGCTTGAGGAGCTCCAAAAGTACGCATAGCATCGTGTCACGTATGGTATGGCCATAACAGCTGACGCGAAAGAACTACTTCTGGTCTTGGTAAAGAAACCTCTCTTCTACCCTCGACAAATACATAATTGCACCTAGTAAAACTGTTGGAGGATTTGTCACGCATGCCTAGAATAGCGAGGTATATTTCCCACACCTCCGATTACCACGGTTGGCTACATACGGTGCCAAATTAGTTCGACATACATCGCTCCAAATTCGACATCGTTTTGCCTGCCGTGAAACTCGCAGACATGAATATCCCAGCGACGTATTAGAGAGACCAACAGAGCGCGCGGGCAAGTGAACGGAGCGAGCGCTCACAGGATGTTTCCTCCAGCAGTCACGGAGTGCGGGCCTCTGCTTCTTGTTGACGACCACCTCCTGCATGTCTTCCAGCGACGGGTGCTGTCCCGCCTCGTCCTCAAACGGCATGCGGTAGTCCCCGACCGGGCCTGCTCGCGCCCGCACACAGCCAAGCGCACGCTTTAAAAAAGCCGCACGGGAAACTTTAACTCGGTGGCTGTCTTCAATGATATAATAATTTACGCTTCTGAAGCACCTTTCAACCGGATGTCGCAAGGCGCTGTACAAAGCAACATCAACAACAACCGCCATTCGCCACAAAGTGGCGGTGACGTTACCGCGGCACTTGTGCCAGGCTATGTGCACGTTAAGGCCACGTGAAGTGTCGAACGTCGGCCGGCAGGAGGTCACGGGGCAGACCCAGGTGCCATGGGTTGACTGACTGAGATAACTGGCCGATGCACCACCTGTGCCCCCCTACTGTACCAACTTGCTGTGCCAACTTGCTGTGTGTACATAGCACACGCAGGCTCACACCAATACAATCCAACCTCAAAACAAAGGATTCAAAAGCAGCATCAGACACGACTCCCACCATATGAAGCACATGTGCAACCAACGTCTTTCACAATCACAAGGCAGCGAGTTAAAAGTACCGGTCAGAGTAGACTCAGCCCATAATCCCTGTGTGACAGTGACCATGGTATGGAAAGCGAGTGCCACTCCACTGCTCAATCGGGCTGCACGACACTCCCAACTTGAGACCACAACCGCGTCCTTTAGTGCCACGCCGCAGTCGCGAGGACAGCCACGCGGTCAAAGCTCGCGGTGTCCAAGCGTGCTCGCCGATTACGGAGAGCACGCCGAGGTGTCCGAAATGGGGGTGGCGTTGAAAGAGAGGTGACGGGGGGGGAGGGCAATGGGGGGGGGGAGGGGGGTGGGGGGGGTGGGAGGGGGGGGGTGAGACCTCACCGTCGGCCACGGTGCACCTGGACACGAGCTCCCACATCACGAGCCCCACGGCGTACATGTCAATACGCAGGAAGGCGTCTCGCTGGAAGTTGATGGCCCCTTCCAGCACCTCGGGGGCCATGTACCTGCGCGTGCCCACCTGCAGGCAGGGAAGACAGAGTGGCGGCCACGGCACAGTTGAGCCGAATCGTCGCCATCATCAGCCACGATCAATCCACTGCTGGATGGAGGCTTCCCCCCCAAGCCGTAACCATCTCTTAAAGTTTTTTTTTTTAAATGTAATAATCCACCTTGCCCCTGCACACGAGCTGATTGCACCGGTTCACGTCCACAGCAAACACAGTTTTGGGCGTAATCCCTCCTCCCGTCCCGTGGCTGCCATTCTGTTGTTATTCCCAACCACTGGCCGTCAACCAACGGTGACGAGTGTCCTGCGCAAAGGCCACTTTTCTCAGCATTCACAAGTACACCTTTAACCTGCTTGCACGCATTCCTCCCTTTGTCTCTCAATGTAATCCCAAGCATGTACTTCCATTACATTTTCCCACACCGATTAGCACGGTTGGCTAAGTACGGTGCAAAAGATGTTCAACAGACAAACGTACGTATAAATTGTTCAATCGACTCCTTGTCCACGATCTTCATTTTGCTCATATGCTGATGCCAAATCCCGTAGCCTTCTTTCAGCAGAGATAAATAGGGTATACCAGTGCTGAATGAGACTCCAATGTAATAGAATGGACTCGAGGTCAAAGGTCAATGAACGCTGCTCAACCCTACTGATGTTCGATCCAATGGTGGACGTTGGACACGTCTAATCCGAGGGCCAATTACACAACAGGTAAGCCACTCTGCCGGATGGACTGCAATAAATCATGCATGCGCACAGTAATTTAAGCAACATTCTGCTGATGAGAACAGTGAAACTCAAACTTCTACAAGATCGGCTTGTTTAGATAAATACGAGGAGTGGAAGCTATTCTTCTCTGCACATGTGACATATGCCGAAGCTCTAATTTGGATACATTGTCATTAAAAACGACATAAATATGCAATTAAACACTTGTTTGCCCAGCAATAACTCACCAAGCCTCAAGGCGTTGGCAGTCGGAGGCGATGTTGCCGCTGCTGTGTGCAATCCCAATTGAGTAATACGCAGGTGATTTGTGCAGCATTGGTATGTTTGCTTTTTTCCGCTATGGGAGGCTACAGAGAACCCCAGACAAAAGCCATGATATACAGGGGGGAGAACATACAAATACAATGTCGAAAGGCGCTCGAGTTGGCGATCGAACGAGACGCTTCTTGCTGTTACTACCGTGCCACCCTCGTCGCCCCCCCCAGTGGCAATGCGGCTGCGTTCGCATTGAACGGCGTCAAGGGCTCAATCGCCTGACGCTGCTTTTCCCTCCCAAGTTGGAAAACGGTTTCACCAGTAATTCTGCCCAAGTTAAAAATGCTGAGGCGGGGAGATTTTTTTTTGGGAGGGGGCCTTAATGCCGGCGGATCGGAGGGAGAGACCAGTCGACTGCGCGCGTCGATCGGCGAACGAGGTGACACGCGTGGCCAGAGGCGGGCAACACAAACACCCGGTGCGCGCTCGAACGCCAGTGAACACAACACACAAGACTCTCCTGCACGTGACAAAAAAAAAACCTCCGACGCATTCGTCAATAACACCGCCTTAACAGACACCATCTGTATGATAGGCGAGATTGTGGGTAGTGGCCCCTTTTTTTATTGCATTTCCTACAAGGACGTTTTTTTCTTCTTGGAAGTACGTACGTCGCACACCCCATTTCTGAACCCCCTCACGAGCCACCCCGTGACCTCCACAATGTTGATGCTTTTCAAGGAAATATGCTTCAAATTTAGAATACGGTCAAAACAATGCAATGTGGGCAGGTGCGTAGTAGTAGGGGTCCAGCTGTTGGATTTTTTTTCCATCCACTTTCTGCCAAAATCAAACAACACTTTTTCCAAACACATTTGTGAGCCAACTTGTTAACAATGTTTCGTTTTTTTTTCCTCCTCCTAACTCATTAAATTTGGGTTGCAAAAGGCAGATTTTGCCGAAGGCATATTTCACACCAGAGATGCATCACAGATGACAAGGCTTTGCTACGCCACCCAATATCTCTGCTTCAGAGGAAGGGGAAAAAAAAAACACTAATCGTCATTCTGACAACGGGAGGGCGAATAGTACAACAAGCGCATTGCTTGACAGGTTACCCTAGTCTCGTCTTGTTTGCTGCGTTGTGGTCTGGCCTGGTGGGCCATGCACCTAAATAACCTTTAACGCGCGCGACGTTCTTGAAGTAAGGAAAGGTAGATATGACTTTTGGGGGCACACGATCTAACCCAAAAAACCTCTATTATGGCTATTGGTCGCGAAAGCCTACGTGTTAAACATACAGCATCTGGCTCTCATACGGATTCCACTGGGATACGACTAAATGCTGTATGTACAGTGAGGGAAAAAAGTATTTCATCCCCTGCTGATTTTATACATTTGCCCACTGACAAAGAAATTATCAGTCTATAATTTTAATGGTAGGTTTATTTGAACAGTGACAGACAGAATAACAACAACAAAATCCAGAAAAACGCATGTCAAAAATTGTATAAATTGATTTGCATTTTAATGAGGGAAATAAGTATTTGACCCATCTCAATCAGAAAGATTTCTGGCTCCCAGGTGTCTTTTATACAGGTAACGAGCTGAGATTAGGAGCACACTCTTAAAGGGAGTACTCCTAATCTCCGCTTGTTACCTGCATAAAAGGCACCTGTCCACAGAAGCAATCAATCAATCAGATTCCAAACTCTCCACCATGGCCAAGACCAAAGAGCTCTCCAAGGATATCAGGGACAAGATTGTAGACCTACACAAGGCTGGAATGAGCTACAAGACCATTGCCAAGCAGCTTGGTGAGGTGACAACATTTGGTGCGATTATTCGCAAATGGAAGAAACACAAAAGAACTGTCAATCTCCCTCGGCCTGGGGCTCCATGCAAGATCTCACCTCGTGGAGTTGCAATGATCATGAGAACGGTGAGGAATCAGCCCAGAACTACACGGGAGGATCTTGTCAATGATCTCAAGGCAGCTGGGACCATAGTCACCAAGAAAACAATTGGTAACACACTACGCTTTGAAGGACTGAAATCCTGCAGTGCCCGCAAGGTCCCCCTGCTCAAGAAAGCACATATACATGCCCGTCTGAAGTTTGCCAATCAGCATCTGAATGATTCAGAGGACAACTGGGTGAAAGTGTTGTGGTCAGATGAGACCAAAATGGAGCTCTTTGGCATCAACTCAACTCGCCGTGTTTGGAGGAGGAGGAATGCTGCCTATGACCCCAAGAACACCATCCCCACCGTCAAATATGGAGGTGGAAACATTATGCTTTGGGGGTGTTTTTCTGCTAAGGAGACAGGAAAACTTCACCGCATCAAAGGGACGATGGATGGGGCCATGTACCGTCAAATCTTGGGTGAGAACCTCCTTCCCTCAGCCAGGGCATTGAAAATGGGTCGTGGATGGGTATTCCAGCATGACAATGACCCAAAACGCACGGCCAAGGCAACAAAGGAGTGGCTCAAGAAGAAGCACATTAAGGTCCTGGAGTGGCCTAGCCAGTCTCCAGACCTTAATCCCATAGAAAATCTGTGGAGGGAGCTGAAGGTTCGAGTTGCCAAACGTCAGCCTCGAAACCTTAATCACTTGGTGAAGATCTGCAAAGAGGAGTGGGACAAAATCCCTCCTGAGATGTGTGCAAACCTGGTGGCCAACTACAAGAAACGTCTGACCTCTGTGATTGCCAACAAGGGTTTTGCCACCAAGTACTAAGTCATGTTTTGCAGAGGGGTCCAATACATATTTCCCTCATTAAAATGCAAATCAATTTATAACATTTTTGACATGCGTTTTTCTGGATTTTTTTGTTGTTATTCTGTCTCTCACTGTTCAAATAAACCCACCATTAAAATTATAGACTGATCATTTCTTTGCCAGTGGGCAAACGTACAAAATCAGCAGGGGATCAAATACTTTTTTTCCCCTCACTGTATGTGCATATGTTGAATTTATTTCGCATGGCACGTTGCCAACCCTGACTATTGGAATACGGGATGTGCATAGGCGGGTGGCTACGTACGGTACGAAAGAAGCTGAACATAGCTCTCCCTGGCAACACGAGCTATTGGTTTTCTAAGGAATGTGGCATTTAAAACGCTGGTTCCGGGACTACCGATGGGGATGATCATTGCGCAACACTCATATTTAATAATCATCCTCGCTACTTTTGGGAACAGACGCCTGCGAGCATCTCAGAAATGTAATCGCTGAAATGGGGAGGGATGCGGGGGTCGCAGGGTGGGGCCGGGGCTAAGGGGTGGGGGGGGGGGCACACATGGAAGCCCACAATTTAAATTAAACCCCTCATCATAATCCATTAGCTCTGCCACCAGCACGAAGATATCTAACGCAATCAAGCAATTTATTACCCGGTGTCGTGTTCGCTTCCCTTGCGAAAACACGTGTTAATCTTGGCTGATGAATGCATTGCCGTGGGCGGCAGCGGGGGGGAGAGGGGTTGGGTACATGAGGTGGAAGGGGGAGGCAGTTGTTGGCTTAAGTGGGGGATTGAAGGGAGAGGCGAGGTTTGGAAGAGGGATGATGCAAGAGCAATTAATTACAGAGAAGTTGCTGCTCATAGGGCCCATGTTTAGAAGATGCTATCCATAGCGCCAAGCCAGACTTTACCGATGGTTATGCTTTCGGTAAACTGCCGCTGCTTCCTGTGCAAAGTCAATGAGTCTGCGTGCTCAACTGACACCTGGGGCAAGTGCTCGTTGGTGCAGTGCTGGTGTGCCCATATGTATGTACGCATGTTGAACTTCCTTCGCATCGTATGTAGCCAACCGTGCTAATTGGAGGCGTGGGAGCAGGAAAACAAATTAAATACAAAAAGCAGTTCTGAAGAAATTAGTTTTCAATATAGCCGGTGGTACAGAGTCAATAGTCCTGTGGTAGGAGTGAGCGTATTCAAAGGACAACTGCCATTGACTTGTCACAAAGTGTTGCTTATTTTATCGAACCCAGTTGGATGATTATAGTCCACAATGGGGTATGGTGAGGATTTGAACTGGTCAGCCGGGATTTGAACTCGCAACAAAGCTGCGAGTGGAATGTTCTCACCTCATGGCCAGTCAGCCAAACACGCTGCTTGCTGCTAGGTCGCGTTGACTCCCTCAACTCAAGGACTTAAACTGTTCATTGGTATGTGCATATTGACCTCTGTAGATTATATCTACATTCGCTATTTTTCTGCGTGTAGTTTAAGTGTTCTCCCCTCTTCCGACACTCCATTTTCCTCCCGCACGCAAAACATTTCAAATAAAATTGCTCTTTTGTCGAACATCAATTTTTTTACAAAGCGCAGGCAGAAGTTTGCCAGCCGAATGCTAATTTGAGGATTTCCACTGCAGATGTTATCAACATAAAAAAGGCCAAAGATCACCCATGCAGCTTGTACAGAGTGGAGGAGGCAATGTGCTGTTACTAGGCACCCATTAACCCCGGGGGGTGGTACACAACGTGGCGGTGTGGCGAGGTCTAACTCGACCCGGTGATTTTTGTCAAACCAGTGCCAATGATCATGCATCGCACAAGTACTCATCGCACGAGTACCCATTCAAAGACCGCGATTACTTCGGGGTGACCCAGGACAGGGGCTGGTGATCGCATCGCTAATCAAGAAATGCCATAGCCTTGGAAGTGAACCGGATTGTAGTGCAGTGTGTTTTTCTCAAACAGCGGACGAACTTACAAATATGCACACACAAAGGTCTTCCCCCTCTAGTTATAGACCATAGGGGGGGCAGGTGCTATTATCCTAGCAATATACAATGTAAAGACAAGAGATCCCATGAATAGCCTATATAGACTTTTGGGGAAACTTCTCTCAGAGAGCAACGATTAAGGCCTGCAGGGCGCACGAGGGGATGGATTGGCTAGCATCACGCTTGGCTGCCTTTGCCTTCCAAATTCTGATGTTTACACTGCACACCAAGTACTCATTTAGGCCGAGTTAACCCATGGAAAGTCCAAAAAATCATCCTCGGAGGTTCGCTGCAGCGAGGTCACCGGGTTTGTAGCGCAGCGTGTTAACCGCTATGCCACGGCTCCACCCATTTGGGTGTGTGTACAATGAACACACACACACACACATGTACGCACAAGACAAACACACACACACACGCATTGACCACACGCAGAGCATGCAGCTACACATGCTGCAAAGCTGCCCCCATCCGTCGTAAGAGAGACCCCCACCCCCCCCCCCCCCCCCCGGCTGAATGGCCAGCACAGTAAGGATTACAATTGACGCAAGCGGTGTCCGGGAACGTAAATAAGCAGTGGAATGCACGGTTCCCACAGCAAGCTGTGGAGCGTGGGGGGGGGGGGTACAGGGGAGGCCACACACCTGGCCGTGCATGTCCCCGGGCGGTTTGCCAGGCTCAAACTTGACGGCCAGGCCAAGGTCGGCAACGCACGCTGTCAGGTCGCTCTTGAGCAGCACATTCTTGCTCTTGAAATCCCTGCAGAGAGAGGTGCGGGGAGGGGCAAGGGAGGCGAAGCTTTTTTTTTTTGTTTAAACCACTTCGCCTGAAGCGCCTACTCACTTCGCACAGCCAATGCTTTACTATTCACTGGAAGAAATGTTCTCCGTTCTTTTCCATTGAGACGGATTTCAAAACGACGAAGGCTCACTTTCATTGACGCCAATTTGCAGACATCGAGAATAATCGCTCGCCGTCGGAATGAATATGATGCGTAGCTCATGACGAGCATAAATAATTGGTGGACAGCCTCACATGTGGTCATAAAAGTGAGAATAGAAATCGGTTTGAGAGTTCAAATGTAATGCTTTTGTGTTATTTTACAAAAATTCGAGTGCTCCAGCCAGAGACATCTGGCCAGATTATAGGACAAACAAAGTGACTAAGAAAAGCATCGCATATCTATGGGGACTTTTAACCAGTATGCAAAATGATGAAGATTAAGAAGAGGTTTCACCCTTTCGTAATTTTGGATACTGGAAGAAAAAGGTCCCATAGATATAACTGCTCGACCTGAGCTGTAAGTGTTCTGATACGTGCATTGTCTTTGTACTGTTCGTCTTTTGACGTTCTCTGGTCTAACAGTGGTAGTGAGACAAGGCCATACAGAAGGCCATCTCAGGTGTAGGCCAATCAGTTTTTAAGACAATGCAAGTATATCATCAAAGCACATTTGTTTGCATGTTTTGCTACAAGTTTGTGTGGTTAATGCAGACTTGACGCCATGCAAAAAGCTTCACGTATATAAGTTAATAAAGAAAGAGATGATGGTAAGATGGTAGTAAGTAAATTTGGAGTGCAGTAACCGACATCAGAAGCTCCGAACACATTTATATTCATGATTGCCAATTAGAGATTCGATCTGCAAAAATACAATTTTAACGATGTGGAAAAGATGACAAAAGGCAGCCCTCGGGACAAGACGGACATGAATGTGACAACCATCTCGGGCAGGGAAAGCAGCTTTAACTTGGAGCAATCTTAATTAAACGTCATTCACTGTTATCTTTGAGCAGCGGTAATAGTAATTTAGTTTTTTTTTTTACTGAAAACGAGGCACATGAAACTAACTAGGGTCCTATTGTTCCGTGTTTCTAATCGGTGATAAGTGTAAAAAAATAGCGCAATCAAATATTTAACTTCTCTGCCAGAGCATGAAGAGCACTAGGACGGTCAGAACGGTTTACGTAAGACTTTTGCACCAAACGCAACATTGTACTGAGCTGCTTAATATTGGAAATAAAACTTCAAAACACATTTTATGGACGTATCTACTGTACATTCCACGATTGTATCAAAATATAATTTAAGACCAGGAGCAAGCGAGGGCTTTACCATTCTGGCGAATTGCCCAATGATGCTGGATGTAATTACCAGCGAAACGTCGTACTCAAATTTTAAATGATGTTGATTCACTCTTCAACACACCGGTGGGCTAAAGTAGTGAACTATTTGTCCTTTGTAAACGTGACACTTTTTTACTGTTTGGCCGTGTCGGGTGGTGGAGGGTTACGACACATTTATAAATAACGCGATCTAACCCAAAACCTTTATTATGAATAATATTGGTCGCGAAAGCCTACGTGTTAAACTGAATATAATTTTTATCCAGGAATGGTTTTGTGAATATCAAGACTCTTTTTCAGGAGGGTCCTGTATTTGGACATTGGGCCCATTCTTTTTTTTAATGAGTTACGCAAGGAGGAGGAAACCAGAGTATTGGAAAGGAATAATGCTCAATATCCACACGTATAGACAGTCCACAATCTATTATTCTGTATTGTCCACTGCATCACACCCAAGTGTGGCTATTGTACCGAGGCTCCCTCAAGGCCATGCGGGAAGGCGTGTGCCACAGTTTGGCGCCAGCTATGATATAGAGGGCAAGTGTCACTACAGTTCTCTGTGGTGTGTACAATGTATTTATAAACAATGGCAATACGCCTCTTAAAATAACATTAAGGCTGAGCCGCTTGCGCTTCCGAGATTCAGCGGTGAACGGGACCACCCCTGCAACTTACAGACGTTTCAGAACAGGAAAGGGGTCAAAAAGAATCATGCTCAAACAAATATCTCTTGGAGATCCTCGGGTAAAAATACCATCGTCCTATGCTGGGGACCAGTCTCTCTAACAACCACTACTGACCCATATGGGGCCGGTGGGGATGATGGGCTGAGTCAACCAATAGCTAGGCTTGAACTCAGGCATGTTGGGGTCAAGCAGCCAGAGGAGAAATATGTACATATTATGTTTAGAAAATGCATTAAAAACTACTTTGAGGAAATTTGCAAACAACAAACATGACTGTCCAGCCATAAAGTCCCATGTGTGGCCATTGTACTTTCTGAAATATTAACTTGCGACCTTTCAATTGAGTTGGCCAACACTGCCACCACACCACCACCCAGCCAGCTAAGTGTAAAAAAAACACAAATCAAGACTGAAGACATCACTTCAGCCCAGTGAGGTCACTCCAGGCAAAGTGAGACATGCAATTGTGATTCCTATTGGTTCTAAAAAAATCTAAAATATTTTTTTCCCAACGACAACAACAAAGCTCAGTGACAACGTCCTAATTCCAAAAGTTTCTTGCAATTTCTGGAATTCCAGCGTTCAATTATAACAGTGGCCGTACAACCTTCCAGCATGCAGCCTACAATGTACCGCGTGTGCGTTGTCACCGTGAGCGACCGAGCGATCGAGCGAGAGATGTGGGAGACAGCGGCACCTGTGAGCGATGGCCGGCTTGAGGTCGGGGCCCTCCTCGTGCAGGAAGGAGAGTCCGCGTGCCATCGTCTCGGCTATGTGGCACAGCTCGCTCCACGTCACCACGTTGCCCTTGAGGTAGTCGCCCACCGAGCCCTGAGACGGCAACGGAGGAGGCCGGATCACCGCGGGGAACACGGCGACAACGGCGATGGCGGCACCCGAAACAACGAAACGCATGCAGACAAGAGCTCTGTGCGTCCCTCGCTTTCGTTTCATTTCCCTTCTTGCTCCCGCTGCACGTAAAACAATCATCATCATTGACCTGCTTCCGTTCCTCCCTTAAAACAACCCCCCATCACTTCTCCCCCTAGCCCATAATGCTACTGCTACTCCCTGCCTCCGCCCTCCAGCTACGACCAGCCCCACCCCAACCCTTCCCGCCTGTTCTCCTGTCGCAATAGCTACACCACCACTTTGGTTAACCCTGCTCTTTATTTCAATCACTATCATCTTATGCACAATTTAATCATTGCTGTAAAGGGCCTTGGTAATAAGGCACTGCTATACTACACTACTTTTATTTTACCAGGTAAGGTCCAATGAGCTATAGCGCTCTTTTTCAGAAGTGACCTGGCCACAAATAATAGCTCAACGAAGTGGCTCATTACGCGAAATTTACAGCAGCCAAATACTCTAAACGCGTGTTGATTTTAAATGTGGACGGAAAAACAAGAGGATCCAGAGAAAAATCCACGCGACCACGGGGAGATATACAGCAGCCATCAGGGCCAGGATCGAACCCACGACCTCCTGCATACCGGTCGACAGAGTTAACATCTCGCCCACGCTATATAAATCTCGCCAAGGTAAGACGAGCGGTGGCCACCTTTTTGGCCGCGCATCACCTTGTGCTGAAAGAGGGTGATGATCCAGAACTCGAAGTCCAGGCCCGTACCACGCCTCTCAGCCGCCAGGAACTGCAGCAGGTTCTCGTGCTTCATGCCGGCCGCGGTGAACATGGCCACTTCGTTCTGCCACGATGCCTTGTGCTGTGGGGGGAATAACGCCCGTGCATTGGGGGAAGAAAAAAAAAAGCAAAGCGACCGTTAGCAACGAAGCGGTGTAAGTGCACGTCAAAACTCTTTAGAGGTTAACTTACCTTAACGATCTACTTAACCAGGTAAGGCCCACTGTGCTATATAGCTCTTTTTCAGAAATGTCCTGGCCACAAATGACAGCCCAATAAAGTGGCCTATCATGCAGCAGCAGCCAAACACTATAAATTCATGTTTCGAAATGTTGAAGGAAAAACCGGACCCGGAGAAAAATCCACGGGACCAAAGGGAGAACATGCAAACTCCAAATATACATGCGTCAGGGTTGGGATCGAACCTACGACCTCCTGTACATCAGGCGAGGTAATACATTTGGTCTACTTCTACATCTTTGTGCCCTGTTGTCGGGACGTTTATTAAGGTTATATCTTCAGCATATAGTGCATTGACAGGCTGATTGTAAGCTGCACGGCTTCATCTGAAATACTCTCGGATGCTAACACTGTACGGTTAATTCCTGCAGTTACGAAGAATCCCACTTCTCCGTAAATACGCTCATCATTTCTTTCCTCTTACAGAAAATGTTGCCATAATTCAAATGTGGAGCCGTTTCTTCTCATCCTGAGGCCAACTTTGCCCCCCCAATTGAATTCTCCCCCAAATTCCATCTCGGGTGGGGCTCACTCGAACGTGCGCAATGTGGCCGTTACAGAATCATTCTCACAAGCGACCAAAGCGACATCACATTGTGTCAGGGAATGGCCCCAGAAGACAATACCAAGGAACTACCTTTGATAGTCGCTTCAGTTGACCCACAGATTCCACATTCGCTCATGCCTCTTGAATAGAGCTTTTCTGCAATTCCCTCTCTAGTGTTGTATTTATTGTTGATGCAAGGCCAAACATTCCAAAACATCTGATTCAAATACAATATTTCATGCAATCATCAGTTACCGGACTAAGACCATTGATACGACATACCCAGCGACCTGGTTTATTCGTTGGGCGGGTGCCCAGGCTTGAACCCTGGTCTCAGTGGTGTTGGCTTAATCCTGATCGTTCAACGCTTAACAACAAGCCATAGAATGCTTATATGGGATTGCCTGTGGGTGCTGTATAACCAGCCGTATAATTGCCCTCCTAAGTGACTCGTGCTATAGAGCAATGAGGACCCTTACCTTACGCAGCAATTTAACAAACAGCCCTTGAGGCGACGCTACAATTGATGTGGCAGCGCGGGAGTGAATTATGCAGACAGATCCACTCGCACAATTTTATGATCATGCGATCATAAAGGGAGACGACCATTACAAAACACACTCTCTCATGTTATTAATTTCGTGGTCACTTTACTGTTTTACCCGTTTCACTTTCCCTCTGCAACAAATAACGCAACACACTCAGAATTGTTCAAATAGCCCCATTTAACACAACAAGAACAACAAAGTCATTAATGAAAGGCAACTGATGAGTTTTATTACTTTAAAAAAAATCTAGCAAAATCAAGAGCAAATATTAAATGGTAAATTTGCAAAATCTTTGACCTCAGAATTCGCCCCGGGCCACACTAAGGCAGAAAACGAACGACGTATTTTTCGCGTTGTGAGGCGCATGTTGAGGGTCATCGGGCCACCTCTCCTGTACTTCACAACTTCACACCGAGCTCAAGTCACGACGATGGCGGTTGGTTTATAATAATTGTGGCAAAATAGAGCCAAATGAGATGGTTTACAATCGCAGCGAAAGGGGGTTCTCGGACGAGGAGAGCCCGGTATTCCTCACAACGACCTTGACACCGCTGCCAGAGTGGCAGACCATTTATTTATTTAGCAGCTCAAGCTGAAGAGGGGAAAAAAAGCAATGAAATATAACTAAGCGTGACCCTTTTTATTTGTTATTTTATACTACACTCATTCCTTTAAATCGGGGCTGCAATGCAATTAGTGAAACGCTGCTGCCAGTCACGTGCACAGTGACACGGGTTTATCGCGAAGCTGACAATGCTATATCCATGCCCAGGTCACACGCGCGAAAGATGTGAGCGCAACGCGTGGAAATATTAGTTCTTCTTTCGTTTTATTCGATTGGCTTGCACCGCAAATATTTATTTATTTAGTTATATTGCACACCCCCCGCTTATTAACTCTACGGCACAGCCAATCACGAGTAATTGTAATGGGCAATGAACGGCTCGACAACTCAACGCGTCTCCGCGCTCCAATCGGCACAAGCATGGTGCTCATCACCGCGACACGTGCCCCCTGAACCGGGTGGCGGAATTTCGCTCTGCGACTTTCCCACAAAGCAAGAAGCTACTTCATACAACTGTACAAAATACCGTTCGCTGACCGTAGTTACCCACGTGTAATTAACACCTGCAATGGAATAATTTTCATGACTCAAACAAGAAATGAAAAAAAACTTCCCCCCCCGCCCCCACCCACTGTGTGACCCTTTGATATAGGAAGCCCTGAGCTAATGGTCAAATTGCACATTTGTAGAGCAATTAACCGAGGCCTCTATCCATACGGTGGCCAATGCCACCTCCAGCACGAAGTGCGACCATTTTATTGACGCATTGGAGCTGAAGGGCTGGGCTGACCCCCCGACCTGCATGTGACCTTGCGACCTTCCGAACGACGGCTGAGCACTCTAAACGACGGCGCTTACCTCGGTATCAGATAACAATCGGCTATTGCATTAAAAAGTGCATGGTGGCCAATTAATTTGTTGCTCACCCCCCCCCCCCAAAAAAAGCCCAGAGTGTGATTTTGTCCTCACGGATGGGCTGACAAGCTCGGCAGACAGCTCACTCGACACAGAAGCAAGTCATCACATGGGCTCGATGGTTAAATTATTTCAGTGTTTCACTTCTTTGTCCACTGAATAAAATGTACAATAGATGTTGCAATCGAAAAGTGAAAGGCAGAAGAAAAATAAAGAAACGATTTTTTTTTTTTGCTAATAAAAGCATGCCCAACGCGATGAATCTGACACCAGAGACCCCCATGTGAAAGTGTTGACAAGAAGCAGGCCGATGCTTCTCATCGTTACAATCAATTAAGTAAATGTGTTCAATCACCCAGAATGTTAGCGTGGTGCTAACTCAGTACACTTTGATTACCACCGAAAGCAACGAAGCCGCTTCGATGGGCGTTACAAGTAAGCGCATGGGGAGTCTGTATTAGAGCACAAAAGTCCGCACATGGTCACTTGTTCTGTCCTGTGCGAGCTCATGAACAAATGTGCGTGAGCTGATGAATGACAACACACGAGCTCAAGAAACGCATACATGCCAACTCTGCCCCAATCTAAGCGATATTTAAACCCTTCCCTGCACACCTATGTTGAAAGCCATATACTGCTCTGAAAGCCTATGAATAAAATCATACAGCTCAATAATATTTCGAGTTAAATCGCTATATTAAACTAAACTAAAACTATTTTTATTTTACAAGCTAAGGCCCACTGAGCGATGCAGCTCTTTTTCAGAAGCCGCATATGATAGCCCGACGAAGTGGCTTATCACGTCGAAATTTAACATCGGCCAAATACGCTTTGGTAATATAATCAGAACGCTGCAAAAGCGTTAATAAATATAGATAAAAAAAACAACGAGCCTGTCACTTCAATCAGCAGTGGGATTGGCGCCATCACCCGCACCTCGGGGGGGAAAACTTTGACGGCGACTTCCTGGCCGGGCAGCTGGGCACGGTAGACGCAGCCGAATCGCCCGCGGGCCTGCAGCTCCAACAGTTGCAGAGGCTTGAGGCCCAGGAGGGGAGAGGCGGGGGCCGCCTCCACATCCTGCCCCCGCGGTCACACGAACGCACACGAAACACCACGCTGGTCAGGCTCCACATACACAGCTAGCCGCACGGCACATAGATTCAACACAGAAGACAATGATCCCGCCCGCCCCTTATAGCATCAACAGACTGTTGGGGCAAGTGCTGTTAGCGAGTACCACCTAGGAAGGCCGTTTACGGCAAACGAGGGTGTTTTGTGGCCAGCACCAAGCCCGGCCGCCTTCGGCTCCACAATGGCGATATTTGCACATCCCACCAGGTACTCATTTGAGGCTGATTCGACCTGGGGGAGGCCCAAGACCAATTAAAATAATCGTTACCTGTGTTAGCCATGAGCGGGAATCGAACTCTGGTAGGCGGGTTCGGAGCGCAGTGCGCTAACAGTTGCACTACCGTTCCCCACATAGATCAACGCACACACACACACAAAATATCCCCCTGTTTAGCCTCATGAGCATGGGAGGCAGGGCAAGCACCGTTCACGAGCAAACTATTATTACAGGCATGACACACAAGAGGATGGAGCGACCAGTACCACTGGCGTGCACGGTTGAGAATTCAACTCAGCTCACCGGGATCATAATACAGTGCACAAAATACAAGGCCACCACTCGCAATGGCCAACTACAAACTGAAAACAAGAGCTTTAAATCTAGAATTGAAAACAGACTGTTTACAGTTTGTTGTGGCTTTGCTCTCCAACACACCAGTGTGCTGTACTAGTAACGAATTGACATGTTCTGTTTACGTGACAAACCTTACTAATTGGCTGTGTCGAGTGGTGGCGGGTTTAACGACACATTTATATATTTACGTAATTTAACCCAAAAAACCTGTATTATGGATAATATTGGTCGCAAAGGCCTATGTGTTAAACTGTAAACGACTGTCTGAGCCGTTAGTGAGCATCTATGAAGGCCAGTTACGGCGCACGAGCACTTGGTTTCATCAGCACCGGCGCTGACGTTTCCACAATGCACCAGGTACTCGTTTAAGGCTGTGTTGACCTAAGGGAGGCCAAGGGTTGGTTCACATACCAATTGCCACTTATGTTAGCTGTGGCAGGGAATTGAAGCCAGGTCACCGGGTTCGCAACACAGCGTACTATCCACCACGCAACTGCTGCCTTCAACCACACACGCGCACGCCTGCATAATCACGCACACATTCCAGTTGCAGCTTTCAAGGAAAACCAGTCTGGCAACAACCGCCCATCAACACGGGCGAATGAATGCACATGGGTCCTCTCATTCACAACATTTTATTTCACCACCTGTGCAGTGGAAGCAGAGGCAGTGAGGAGCACCCCCCCCCCATTCAGTTACTCGGGTTGCCACCCATCCTGGTTTCTCTTTAGAGGTCCATAACCCTGGGAAATCTGCAAGTCTTTTCCTGGCGCAGTAAAAAAAAGTTATTTTTTTTTGTCAGCTACGTAACAATATAACAATATGCTACTCAATACGATGCATTTCGACGTATTCTCCCTCCACTGGAACTGCGAGATATTCTGCGTCGGTACAACTGGTACACTGCCGCGACATATCCCTCTTCCCACGACTATCCATCTGTTTGTTGTTGTATCTCAAGAGAGGTGGACACGCCCATCGGTTGCCCCACAAGGCGCCGCACGTGGGCGCGGCGCAACCCCCCAGGGTGGCCGTGCGTGCCCACCTCCTGCGTGGGCACCTCGTGGTGGGCGTAGGGCAGCCCGTGGTGCCGGTAGAGCCAGAACGCGAGCAGCAGCAGCAGAGAGACGCCCAGCAGCGGCACCATGGTGTACAGCAGCACGTTGCCCAGCTGGGACGGCTCCGGAGGCTTCTTGGAATCTGGAGACAGCAAAGCGGCCCCTGAGTCGGCGCCCAGGCGCGACGTGCTGTAATGTTCACCGCGACGGTACAGCAGCAGCGGCGGCGGCAGCAGGCAGCAGCGTGAAACAACGCAATTGCAATAATAATAATAATATCGTTAATTATTTGGTGGTGCTACTGGTGCTGCGCTGACAGCGGGATGCACAAGCGCAGTTAACAGAAAACTCAACACACCCGTCGATAACACTGTGGCCTTAACAGGATACAATATATAACAGGCGACGCTTCGGGCAATGGGACATTGTTGGAGATGGATCATCGGGGGTGGGGGAATTCTCCACACAAATGGGAAACGTGTAGTTTTTTTTCAGTTGTTCTGTCTGGCTCTCCGATGGGTTTTTGTTCAGTTCCTGAAGAAGCCACCAGCATGTGGAGCAAAACGTCGGACATCATGTTCAACAGCGCAAGGTACAACCTGAAAACGCATCACAGAGCAAATGTGCTTAGGAGCCCAAGCATCTTCCTGCTGAGGTGAGCATGAATGAGGTAGTCTTAAAATACCACGTTCCAATTGAAGGGAGCAGTCGCCCTATAATAGGACAACTACTGCTGACTGCCTACAGTGGTGTGAATTGCATCAACCCTGGAATGACGATGAGACATTTAAATAAGTATGTGGCTAATAGATTAATAGGTGGACCACTGAGCACTCTGAGCACGAGTGCAAGTCATATCGCACCATCTCTTCTGGCCTCATCCTTCGCAGCCTGGACACCAGGCCTGAGGATGGGAGGGGGCGCCAGGCTCAAGGGCGGCTATGTGTTGCGGCTCTGAGCATTAGAAACGGTGCGAGCGTACGCATCTGAAAAACACGAAAATCCACTCGACACGCCGTCACGCTGGCCGAGTGGTCATGCGGTGGAACCTGCTGCAATGTTTGACAGTTGGGTTGACATCTCTCCTAGTTTTCCCACGATCGTCGTGCGTTTGATTATGTAGCTGCTCTGGGAAATCTGTAAGTCTTCTCGGGAGATGACAAGTCCCAGTTTTTGTCAGTTTCATAACAATACACCGCTCAAGACAATTTATTTACATATTGCTCTCCCCTCTTCTGGAATTGTGTGTTGGTTCATTAAAACGCCCCCCCCCCCCACCGCTGAACTGCTGGATGTGGTGGGGGAAAAAAAAAAGTGTTGTTATTAAGCTTAACACTCTAGTACGGAGTTCTGTTAAAACATTTGCGCATCAAATCCCATAAATAAACATCAATGAAGGTTTCTCATGGGGTTGGTCACATGCTTGGATGTGATGCAGAACCGACACGTGTTTACACCCCGCAGGGCAAGCTACTGTTAACATCTCGGTTGAGTCGATTTCTTAGTGCTGGGCAAGAGGGGAATCTGTCAAACTTGGGGGCATGCCGGCGACTGCCGATGGAAACAGGTTGCGAGAATAGAGCCACTCTGTTGGCTTGGGTCTAGTTTCACTCGGTCATGTTTGATGTTTGATCTTGATTTGGTGCTTTCGTGACTGCAGGAATTACTCTTTGGTTTTTTCGGTAAAGTCACGTAGAAATAATAAATCAACCAGACCATGCGTTAATTGTGTTTTAACCGACCGTCTGTGTTGCTTTATATAGTTTCATAATTTTTGCTAAACCCTGTTTGATTTAGTGTGCTCCTCCGCCTCCCTCTGTGTCCCCTGATGTGTCTGTGTTAATTCTGTACCTGATGATGATTGCTTGTGTTGCAATCGAAACGTCGTATGCTATTATATTATTTTATTTTCATTATTTCTACGTGACTTCACCGAAAAAAACCAAAGAGTTGATGTTTGATGTTTACAGAGTGGACGTATGATCATAAATTTGTGGGCTCCATTTGATCCAAAATAAATACGGCATTTCATGTTGGGGCTCCCTGAAACTCGGAGACGGAAGTCTGTGCTTAGTTTGCAGCAGTCGTAGTGTCCGTCACTCGTCATGTTTTTTTTTCCTTCGCAGATTTTGGCCTCTGTACATGAAGGGGGGAAAAAAAAACCGACACGTATTATTCAACTGCAGTTTGGTGGCATTGTTCATATTTTGGTGGTATTCCTCGTGAGTCTGTGATGGGAATAATGTTTTATCCTCATGAAGGCAAAGAAAAATGTAACGTAAAATGTAGCTTGGTTCGGCTAATGCAATAGAGAGGGCAGCTCTGGATGCATTTCCGTATTCGGATTTCATTTTAACGGACAGTTTAAGTTAATCACCAAATGATGCAATAAAATGTAGTTACAAAATCGATGTTACAGGGCAATTAAACGGTGGAAATTATTAGGGTTTTTTACGTCCCAGTTAACCTCTAACGTTAACGTGGAATCAACAAATAATTAAGGGGAGTTGAATCTACTTTCCCAGACACTTACGAGATACCGCTGTTGTAAACGGCCCGGCTATCTCCACCAGACGATAACTGCGACAATGAAACATATAAATCTGATGCAATTACTGCAGCAATAAAAATGTAAAGGGTTAAAGAAACTCGCCGGTTTTACCCGGCGCCAAGGAGCACGAGAAAGTGGCTCAACACTGCTGCCGACTTAGTAACTGATGCCAATTCGACATTTCGATGACGAGCAATAGGTTACAGCCTGACAGCCAGTGTTGGTTGTGGTGCAGTGGTCAGAGCACCATGCACCCGTGGGCCAGAAGGCTTTGAGTTCAATTTACGGTTGGGAGTCATCCCATAAAGAGTCCAGGTGCTATGGTCACTGTGCGAATGGGTTATCATGTAACTCTCGTTTTCCTCACCCTATGAGGAATTGTTTGAACAGGGTGAGAAAAAAAACCCTCCTTTAAAAGTACCATGGGACTCACAGAATGGTTTCTTGGATAATAAATAACGTAATTTCCATTGGCAATACTAAACACCACACAAATCAAAGTTAATTTACATGCATGAACTCAAGAAGGATGCTATTCATTTAATCAGTAAACTAAATCAAGTGTATTTACATGACTAAATGGGCCTTCTGGACCATTATTTTCCAGGATTTGCCAAAACAAGGCAAACTCTTGACCCGGTTGACATTCCCAAATCACATCAACAGAGAGCAACACACAATCGACAGATATTGCAGCACTGCACTTTTAATTTCCACTCCACCCTGCTGATGGCACTCGGATAAGTAAACATTGGTCCTGAAATTACCTTGTTTACGCAAATAAGACTGGAGAACCCGCAGCCAATCTCGACTGTTTCACGCGTCTCAATGCGCTTGGTTCATCTCCACATTAACCAAAGGCTACAACGAGGGCTCTGAAGCAATCGGGACGTACCGCGGGATCCTAACGTGAAGTGTCGATCACGCGGTATATCACGTACGGGCCGTCTCCTCGCACAGCCTGCAGCCCGGCAGGTATGCGGGGAGTTCCACAAGTCTACGCGATCCACCAATCCAACGATACGTTGATAATGTACATTCGCGTACGATGCTGCGAATGAAACGTACGAATGTGGTGGTGGTGGGTGGGGGGGGGAGTAAAAAACACCAAACGTTTCTGCCAGGTGCTGCTTCTGTGTGGCATCCTGCTGTGTTAATCTGTACAGGATCGCGGCTGGTTGTCCGATTTGAAAAGGGGTTTTGGGAAATGGGAATACAACTCTGGGAGTGCGTTTGCACACACGCACCACGTGGACGTGCGAATAATCGCAGGACGATAATCGTGGTGGTCCTCGGCAGACAGGTGGCGCCTCGAGATGGTTCTCTATCCAGAGGAGGGCGCTATGAACCCAAATAGATAGCGTCATCGGTGCCAAAAGCTCCTCAAAGGTGCGACGACGCATTTCTTATACGACGTAAATCAAAGCGATTTACAGGGTAGGCGGAGGCGAATGCCGAGGTGACAGATACGAGAAAGCACGGACGATGCTGTCATCCACGTGAGTGTGGCTTGAGGTGCGGGAAATCAGGTCACGGTATTAACCAAGTGATGGCGTATTTGTAAAACGACGTAAAAAGGGGGGAGAGCGTAAATCGGTGTCTAACCGTACTCATTAACTAATAGCACCTCCGACGAGCATAACTGGCAATGTACGGTGCGAAATAAGTGAAACATACGTACAGTGGTACCTCGGTATACGTCGTTAATTCGTTCCAGAAGGTAGGAGGACTTATACCCAAAATGACGAATACCAAACGAATTTTTCCCATAAGAAAGAGGGAAAGAAAATAATCCGTTCCAGAGTATAAGAAATTATATTTTATATGGCATATTATACATTAATGGGGTTGTATAAACTAACTTAGACACTAATTATTACTAAAATGCATACATAAATTATAATAAATGTATACATAAATTAAAATAAATGCACAAATAGATAAAAATAAATTGAGATAAAAATAAAATTTAACGTCACTTTACCTTGCTGAGAGGAGTTGATAGCCTACGAGGATGGTGGTGAGGAAGGGGACGAGATGTTATTTTTTGGAAGGAGGGTCCCCTTCCATTAAAACTTCAGGAAGCTGAAATTCTGGGGGGGGGTTTTTCCTCTCTTTTTCTTTTCTGTCTTTTTTTAACTTGACTTGGACCTTGTTGAAGCTCACCAGGTTTGAGTTTGACTAAAAACCTGTCCATTAAAGTTTTTGTCTTCTTCTAAGAATGTTCCTCAAGTGTGACATTGTCTGGTCATTCCACACAACACTGTTACGGCTTGTTAGAGCCGTAACAGTATTGTGTACGCGGGTACTGTACGTGGTGACTCATCCCGACCCACACAAGTTCTAGCAAGCGAGGCGTCGTATCCCAAGCAAGACGTCGTATCCCAAGACATTTTTTTTCTCGTCAAAACACGACGTGTACCGAATTCGACGTATTCCAAAGCGGTCGCATACCGAGGTATGACTGTACGTACAATTGGCGCTGCGGTCAGACGTTCACGGGTTCAAACATCTGGTTGACTCAATTCTACTTTCCGCTTTCGAGAAAATGAGTGCCACTTTGCAGGAACTAATATCGGTTTTGTTTGGAGAGACTGGCCACCACCAAGGAACGTGCAATTTCCACCACTGGCGGGCAGCGCTTCCAGCTGCGATGACCACTGCTACCCACACTCTTTAAAGCAGAAAGACACAAAATGGATGTTCTGATAAGGTGATGTAAAACATAATGATGATGACAAAAGCACTCAACAGTACGAGTGCGATCGTCACAATTTCATGGTTGCGATGTAGCACACAGATGGTGTAACGGCAAGGCTCCCAATCGTGAGCTCATCAAGTTCACATCCCGCCCAGGGTTCACCGAGCCCAACACCAAAATCATTCTCATTAATCGGTCTCTTTAAACTGCCGATGCCTGGTAAAGCTTTCCAACCTGGTAGGAAGTCATTTTTGGTTGCCTTGTGGAAAACAGTCCCTTCCATGGGAACATGGAATTGCCACCAGTGGCTCAGGCCAACCGATGAAGATGAGTATTGCCCAAAAGCTCACTTGAGGTCATGCACGCCAACTTTCTTCGGGTGAATGTATTAACCCTGCCAAAGGGACTTGGTAGAAAAATGAGCAGCTTCCAGAGTCATCTTCCATCTCTACAGACCTTCATCGCCGATTTTGCAAGAGGACATCAGGCTTTATCCGGGACAACAGAAGCGTGGAGACGGTGACCGTTGATAACAACGGCTCTTGACCATAACGTTCTGCAGTGCTTCTGTGTGTCCCACCGCAAGCCTGCAAGTGGCCCTCTGCTACCAAAGCCTCAAAAAACCCAAGCGGCATTTTGTTTCCCGCTGCCACCCATGCAACGTTAAGAGCCTACAATGCGGCACGCGCCGTGTACAAGCGCAATATCATGCGTCGACAGCAACCAGCTTCATCAAGTCATATTGGGTCTCTCCGTAGTCAAACAAGCGTTGTTGGGTGGCGTTCGCCTCTGTTGGCGGACGTTGCGCCAGTATTGGAAATTCCACAGTCCAGTGGCAGGGACCAGTCTCTCCAAAGGGCAACCACCGATGACTTCTCACACAGGCACTCATATTATTGACTCGAGGGGACATTGAATGTGCCAAGCCGAGACAGGCAACATCTCACAAGTTAGGTAGCATTAATATGCCATTCCATTATCTACACATAATATTATAATATGATAATTATAGCGAGTTATTTATCGAGAAAAATCCTTCAAAGTCTCAGGATTCTATCAGGCAAGGGGCTGCTTGTGATATTTGTTTAATGGGAGCATGTGGGAGGAAATTAGAGCAGAGAGAGAAAATCTATTCACACAAGCGGTTAGCATGTAACGTCACTCAGAAATGTTAATGAACCTCTTCCATGTACCACTCTTTACAGACACTGTGCCCCCCCAGTGAGTTGGAAGCTCACACACACATGATCTCAACATGATTCATCAACCCTACATATCATGAAGCAGATATTTGATCAGTTATGATTTATCCTGACTTAAAGCTTTCGTGACTGCAGGTCCCGTAGATAGAAAAATAATAAAATAAAATCATATTCAGGCGGACTGCTGTATTTTTTCACCTGAAGACGATTGCCTGTGTTGCGATCGAAACGTCGTGATTTTTTAAATTATTTTTCTATCTACATGACTTTACCGAAAGACCCAAAGTGTATGATTTATCCTCCCCCGACCCATCGTTTTGCCCCAGCAAAACTGCAGTCGCATAAATAAGCAATGCCTAGACCGGGAATAAACACAGGTCACCAATGTCCAATGGAAAAGCCAAAGATAAAGAGGCCCCTATTAATGACACATGCATGAGTCACAGAGCGAAAACAAACAAAGGGGTCACTGTGCAGCCCGGCGCATGATTCGGAGAGGGAAGGGCCGGTGGCCAGCATCACCAGCCTCTCACAAGGACCTCACGGATACTTCTGCCTCAATGAATACGACAAATGTTCCATGCTACATTCAATAAGGAAACAACTTTGACTTTAAGTTGAATGCGCAATAACCCTTCAGTATGGATAATTTGGTGAAAAACAAAACAGTAACCTTATTTCACAAATTGTATAGTCGCACAGCACTGGTTACTGGGGGTGTCCTTAGATACGTTCAGCTTGGCAGAGGTCTATTAATGCCATCAATTATATCCCGTAATGGATATGTGGGAGCTTGGGGTCACAGAGTTGCCCAGGATTTGTATATGCTAAACTAAAACTATTTTTATTTTACCAGGAAAGGCCCATTTAGCTATTAAGCTATTTTTTCAGAAGCGACCTGGCACATAAATGATAGCTCAACTAAAAGTGGTTTGTCGTTGTGTGGAAATTTATAACAGCCAAATACTCTAAACCAGCGGTCCCCAACCTTTTCGGCACCAGGGACCGGTTTCGTGGAAGACAAATTTTTCCCGGACCGGGGTGGGGGGGGGGGGGGTCATCATTGGGTCTTTACCCCCTTTTCAAAGAAGCCCTCCAGCGACATTTGTTTTTTACTCACTTTGGCTACTAGGGGGTTAGCTCGTGGGCTTACCAAAACTGTGACTGAGACGAGTGCGCAGTGCGGGAAAAAGGTGCGGACGGAAGTGGTAAATAATAAAATAATGGGGGCGGGCCACGTGCGGACTCACCGCTCACCTCCTTGCGTGCGGCCCGGTTCCTAACAGGCCACGGACCGGTACCGGTATGCGGCCCGGGGGTTGGGGACCCCTGCTCTAAATGCGTGATTATAAATACGGCGGGAAAAAAACAAGAGGACCCCGAGGAAAATCCACACAAGCACGAGGAGAACATGCACACTCCACATGCACAAGCATCAGGATCGAACCCATGACCTCCGGTATACCAGGCGAGGTAGTTAACATCTCACCGCCATGGCACCCCATTCTACCCAAGGAAAAAAAGAGCCTTGCTTCAGTTGTTTTTTTTGCGAACTGGAAAGGACACCCCCACGCGCTGAAAATAACAGTTGAGCATTCACAATAAAATCACGAGAACTTCACGTGATACGTTTCATGCAAATGGAGCAACAATTTCTGCTCATTTCCATAGCCAGTTGTGGAAATTCCACATTCCAATGGTGGGCGTAAGTTTGTTCATGATGACGACGACGATGGCAACCGTGATTTATTCCCCAACAGAGTGTTATTTAATTCATCGACCCCTGAAAAACGATGGAGTAAGTCGATGCCTTGGGGGACTACAACTCCTGGACCTTTCCAACCATGAGTCAAGTGCTCTTACCACAGTGTCAACCTGTCGAACATGTGAAACACAGCAGCAATACAACTGGGACGATGATCCACGAAGCAATACGATACTAAACCTTCCAAACGTCTAGCATAAATACTTCTGAAACCGATGAACTGCAACCGTGCATTGAACACATTAATATAATGCTCTCTGTAAAAAAACAAATATTTTTGTATTTTGGGCAAAGTTACTGGGGGGGGGGGGAAAGGTGCGACGACTGAAAAGTACATCTGAAACAGTTTCAAAACGCATTCAACAACAGGGCTGGCACATTCGACGTGAACATATCAACAACGTTCGGCTCTGGATTTTCGTTGCCTGTACGCAGAATTCTGAGAGAGCGATCGCCACTTGCGGTCCAAATGGCATGCGCGCTGGCTCGATTCGAATTGAACGGGTCCTTCCACGCCCCTCCCGTGCCAATTTTACTCTCCAGTAACATTTGCTGTAAAGCGTGACAGCGAGGGGGACAGTGGCGGTTGTATTGCACAGCGTGTGGCACAGCGTAACTCTGTCGGATCAATGGTGTCCAACTCGCAAGTGGGGTTCGACTGCACGAGCACATTGTAGAAAGCCTGGAGCGATGACTACGACTGAGAATGCATAGCCACGCATCAAATGTCAGCCGTCTCCACACTCCAAAGAGCAACGGATTATGCTCATCTCCCTAGGGGGCCCCCTGCGTCAGCATTACAAATTTCACATTTCAACTGAATGTACTTCGGGGAGAGCTGACAATAATAACTTAGTAAATTTGGTACTGGTGAGATTGTTCTTATCGGGCGAGGCTATCACGAAGGAAGGCGCTGTGTTTCACGAGGCGATATTGCCGTGTGCAAAGCCGACCGAGTAATTTGAAAGGCCCTTTATCAAATTCGGCAGATTTGGACCATGAATCCAGCACACAACGGCCCACTTTTACTTCGAACGACGTCACAAGGATCTTTGACGTCCGCCGTGAAGCAGATGGGGTGCATTTTTACAGTTAATACGCGCCGCAGTAGGCCTGCCCAATTCGAACCGTGAACTTCGGTGTTCGCAGGAGACTTCGGCGTCAACGTTGCTTCAGGGAGCTCAATAAATAAACAGACATGCGTTCAACAATTACAACGGCCACATCGTAATCACACGCAAAAGATAAATTGACCCTTTGCTCGACAAACATTTGAGAAAGCTGTTAGGCAAGAGGAGGATGTTACCTCTATTCCAAAAAGTAAACGTTGGGCTTTGGCATCGTGAAGTTACCGCACGCGTGGCATTACCTTCAATGGGGAGCTGAAACGAGGGCTGGTACTTGAAGTTTCCGTTGCAGAAATCTCCGTTGCAGCAACAGAAAAACACCATCGGGTTTTCGGTGGTCTCCACACACTCCGTCCTAGAGACACGCGCATGCCCACACACAAGACGGCAGCGCCTCGCTGAGCCGCGGGCACACGAGGGTGTAGTTGTGGCCACTATCATGCCCAGACATATCTGCCTCCCTGGTGGCTCTCCGCAGAAATCGCGCCAATTACTTAGGACAGTTTCAAACGCCACACCGCCACTGCGGATGTGCACGGCTGGGAATTGAACCCAGATTGCCGGTATCTCGCAGTACAGAGCGCTTACCAACACTTGCATCGTTTCTCCTCGACACAAACGCAGGCTACATTCGCGCTGAGTAATACCTTTTGAGCGAATTTGCTGCTGTGTGCATCTGAAATTCGACAACAATAAAATGGCAGTCTTTTTGTGCACAAAAACCTGCTTCTAGTAATTTCGTGGACCTAAAGACTAATTGTTGTGCGTGCACGAATATGGGTTTTTGAAATATGAGATAGTTGATTTGGGACAATCACACAAGAGCAGAATTTAAAATAATTACATCACTTTCCAGAAATTGTCACACTTTGCTTATTTAGTTTCATTCATGAGATTTAAAAACTCAGCAGTCCTAGGAACATGTACAAACAAAACGTATAATTTAAATCGCTCATTGGAGGGGTTTAGTGCACCAGGAATTTCGAGGTAGAATTAAACGGAGACAATGCCTCCATAACCCTGACCAAATAAACGGATCAGTGCATTCTAAATCAGGTGAGAAGAAATTGGGGTGTGATGAAATGTATTACACTTTCCTCTCGGTATCCGCCAACTTTATGATCAGCCTTAAGTCGTGTGAAAGGACGGAGGAAAATCCGCGAAGATTACGTAAATTTAAGGAGCATATATAATATTACACGACTGAGCGGCACGGACCCACACCACCATCGTACGGTCGCGCGCTTGAATCCCAGTTGGGGGTGGCCTCAGCCCACGATCCATTCCGGACAAACACAAATGCCTTTTCGCTTTGTGAAACTTCCAACAGTAAGTGTTCCTGTATGTGTTTTCCGTATGTTGAACTTTTTTCACACCGTACGTAGCGGGAATGTGGAATTGCTACCCTTGGCTTATATAGCCAACCACACCTGTTGTGAGTCGCAACACACTCTGGCTCTTAACTTGCAACCCCCAGGGGGAGGGTGCAGGGAATGATGATTGCTAAACACGTTCCACATGACGTAGTGAGCGCGAATTTCAATTAACCATTTCCCGTTCCGAGACAACTGCAAGTTACTGGGTGGGTCCTGTTCACCGCTGAATCCCGAAATGCGCAAGCGGTTCAGCGGGAATTTTTGAGAGGCGTAGCGACGTTGTATTTAAAGACATTTTACTCACCGCAGGAACGGTAGTGACACGACCGCACTCTATGACAGCTGGCGCCAAACTGTGCCAAAGTTATTTTATTTTCGTACGTCAACAGAACGGAATTGAAAGAAACACCGATGATGTACACGTACGTCATCGAAACGGTAAAGTGTTAACATGACGAGGCGATAGAGAGAGTGAGTCGCAGGTGGGGGGGGGGGGGGGGGCGGAAGAAGGGAGGGGGGCAGTCACCGGTCGTAGCAGTTGAAGTCGTCGAGCCAACAGCCGCGGCGCTCCAGCCGCACGGTGCCGGAGGAGTTGCGCCAGGTGGCGTAGCAGTGCTGGCGCTTGTCTCGCTCGCCATCACATAGCTCCGAGGCCACGGCCGCCTCCCCGTCCCAGCCCAGCGAGCCGTTGTAGTAAACGCACTGCCGCGTCTCCGCCACGCTGCCACACGGCCCTGCAGCGAGGCAGCAGACGGGGACAATGGGGAGAGGTAGAAGAGTTGGAGGTGGACGGTGGACGGTGGTGTACGATGCAGCGCAGGAGGATCTCGATTGTTATACTGTACAGCGTGCTCCTCATGCAGAGCTGCATAGGGCACTTCATACTAATTTGTTTTTTTTTTATTTTGCTGGCTGGTTGGCTGGCTGGTGGCCTGCCTGCCTGCCTGGCTTGCTGGCACGAGGTGGTGACATCACAGCACACATCTATAGGATGTGGGTGATGTCATCACTGAAAAACGAATTGACCTGATAATACAGGCAAAAAATAAGTTGACTCATTTAATTTATTTAACTTTGCCATCATTCCTGATATGACTTGAAATATATTTCCAGAGACAGGGAAGGACCATAACAACTAAAGGGCCTTGCCCTGACACCTTATTTTAGACGATCTCCAAGAGCTACCAAGTTCAGCAATCACTGGTCTCAACAGACCACGACTGGTGCACACACACATCAATGTCTCTGTCTGTGGTGTCACTTCATGACGGAAGGAGTGCATGGCGAGGTGCGTGGCGTTGTGGCATATCGCTGTCGTTGTTGACTGGCCCATTAACAAGTCCATGCCTATATCGCACACCGTTGTCACCCACGAGAGTGCTGGTGACTCTATCGGTGAATGATGACTGTGACGAGAGGTGAATCGGTCTACGTGACAATGAGTGTCATGTCAAAAGTAAACAAAAAGTTCCAGCGTTTCCCCCGCTAAAGCCGAGGGATAAGAGCCTAAGTCGACACTTAAATGGGATTTGAATTCACAATCTGTTGATTTGAGTCAGCCACAGGGTCCACCCGCTTCATATTATTATGGAAATAGCACAATGAGCCCAAACAAATGCTCAACCCATCAATGTCTTACCAACAAGGTTCTCGCTCAGTAGTGTCATTTTATAATTAGATTTTTACTTCGAATGCGACACGCCTGTCGCATTGGAAATCCGTCGACTTTGGAAAATATTCTGATCACCAACAAATATGATCTGCATGTTCACACCGAGCTTGAGCACGGCAGTAAACTGAAGCCCGTTATCTCATTTTAAAATAGCACTCGTGTCGAATTAAACATTTAAAAGGTGGTTGTTGTATTCTTCGTGTGAGAACGGTTTCTGAGCATCGAAGGTTTTGCCGCGCGTGGTGCTGACGGAGTAACTTTCATCGTGCCTACCGACGCACACTGCCATTCTCAGAGCCGACAATGCAGGTCGTCCCTTCCCAGTACCTTCAGCATAATTGAGAGGATGGCAGAGACATTGTCTTTCGTTACACACACCATCACTTATTCATGGCCGGGAGATGTGCGATGCGTAACTTTAGCGGCGTTACACTTGCTCGGGGAGTGGCTGCCCAGGGAGACGGCAAAATATAAATTTGGAGACTTTGAGAGAAGGGCGAACTTATCATATCCGTTCCGGCACTCAGACTTGTAGTGGCATTCACTACAAATATGCCTCCTGTCACTTGGCACTGACTGGATTCCAGTTTCGGTAGCACGTGCACACGCTATTAAGCGCTGAACTTAGTACCAAACGCCGACTAGAAATTAATTTCAGAATCCCATTTGATCAACACACATGCGTGGGGCTATGCCGCACCACAGTGGTGCATACACGTAACCTTTTTTGTTAATTTTACTTCGATCGCCCACGTTCGCGCCGTCGGCGTCAGTAACAACGGATAATAAACGCCAGCGACTCGCACTGCACCACATTGGAGATGCAGCCGTTTCATTAGAGGGCACGTGCAGCTTGCTCTTATTTAATGTTGTATGAAATCGATGAGAACATCCGAGCGAGGCACAATGAGCCATCGCTGCCCCATCTCGCCAGTTTGTTGCAAAACAACCAGAGGCCAACGCCGAGTTCCCAGTAGAGTACAAAGTACTCCGCTTCAATTATTCATCGCGCCGCGCGTCAATACGAGGGCTGCAGTGATCATTTTCAGACCCTCCTCTGATTATCGGTGCGCTCCCCCTGTACGCACACGCGCGTGCGCGCATGCACTCAACAGAAACGTGCGGAGGAATGCGGCCGAGTGGCCCTCGGATCACAACGACGCAAAGAGCTGCGTGCGCTCTGCAGAAAAACACGTGGGCCTGGCGGAATAGCAGATGTGTGTGTGTGTGGGGAACGGTTGTGCAGTGGTTAGCGCACCGGGCTATGAACCCAGCGACACGGATTTGATTCCCACTCACAGCCAACACCAGTGAGGATTATCTGAACCAGTCTTGGTCCTCCCCTGGGTCGACTCGGCCTGAAATGAGTACCTGGTGCGGTGTGTTAAGGCTATGCTGGGGATCTTTGTCTTTGTGTGGGATTGTGAGCTGGACTGTGGATGTGGAAGATGGAATTGATGGTGTAAGAACCTTTGTATTAGGCATATGTCACGTAATATTACGTGACAATATTCACTCAAATTACATGGTCTCGCACCTTCGTTAAAGATAACAAAACAGAAAAGACACAACATACATTCCACATTCTTTTGGCAAGGAATCGCTACTGTCTCACCAGGTGGTGCTGACTTTATCAATGCCAGAGAAAGCTGCTGATGAGGGTGATGATGATGGAGCCAAATTGACCCTGGTCAGCATATCAACTCTTAATTTTGCTTACATCTCGACAGGTCACGCATATTAAAAATAAATACACCAGGTCTTATAACAGAATAACGTGTTTAATGCAATAATACTTTTTTCTTGTTCGAGCAAGGCATCCAGTATGGCACAGCAGGAAATCAATAGTAGTTCAGGGCAAATGCTGCAAGCTAAAATGAAAACAGGCACCATCATCAAAAATCATCAAGCAAGCGCTGAGTGAATACGTTGCTTGGAAGTGGATGGGTGGCTCAGGGGGATAGTGCCAAATCAGAGCACTAAGCTGGCAATGCTGAGTTTTAATCTGGGTTTCAGCCGTTCATTATTAAATCGCATTGATGGGTTTAACCCGGTCACCAATAAAACTGCACAAATAAAGTCATCCAATTAAAATGTAGGTTTTCACTTGATTTAGCACGTAGGCACATTTCCAAGAATTTACACGGTACTTTTTTGACAACTGAAACATTTTGGGCAATAATTTGTATAAATCATGAAGTGGATTTTTATTTGGGTATAATATATCAACAAATATCAACTACTTAGGACTGTAACTCAGATGAAAATACTGACATTTGCCCACCATTATTAATAATGGATAAACGCTCGTGAGTAGCACAGTGTCATATGTACTCACAAAAAAATAACTTTTTCATCCAAGCTGAGATGATGATAGCACAGTTTAACGCACATGTCAAACAAAGCATCATATTCCACAAATAATCCATATCTTATGAAACAATAGATAAACATCTTAAAAATTACACTCCATACCATATTAGAATCGCTTTAGACATTTGCAATGTGTGGTTGCCTAAATTGTGAAAGTGCCCTCATTGCAGTAAAAAATGAATTTCTTGGGGCAGACTACCTTTGTAAAATCAGTTTTTAAAATGTGTACCACCTATCGTCAGCAAGAAGCTACTGAAGGAACTTCAGAAACAGTTCTGCAATGCCAACTTCCAAGGCGTCCACATTTCAAGAGCCGAATGGCAATATCTTCATCTAATTACATGCTTTTCTCCCAGTTGAATTAAATTTGGAGAAAATCAGATAATAAATAAACCATTTGTTAATAGGGTGGTAATGCACAGTTGGTGCTCAATGTCTGGGATGTCTTTGTAAGTGCACGTGTGCAACTTGGAATGCACGGTGATGATCACCAGGCTTGTTAACGCGCGGGTATGTGTGTGCGTGGGGAATAAAGGTGGTGGTTAGTGCACTACCCGAGTTTGATTCCCGCTCAGGATCAATATCACTGATGAATATTTGAACCAGTCCTGGGCCTCCCCTAGGTTGACTCAGCCATAAATTAGTAGCCTGGTATGGCGTGTAAATATCAGCACTGGGGAGACAAAGGTGGCCAGGCGTGTTTTTGACCACCCACCCCCACCCACCCCCTTTTGCATCATCGGTGCTCGCTAACAGCACTTTCCCCAACATTTTGTTAAAGGCTATGAAGGGGATCTTTGTCCGTGTCTTTGTGTATGTGTGTGTGCCCAAGTCTTGTGCACATTACTGGGTTACAAGCACTCTCTGATAAGCGTTTAGCGGAGGTTTCAACAAAATCTCTTAATTTGTATCATGAAATATCATAAACGGATTACCTCCTCCAAAATAACATAGGTCGACTTAACTTACATTTAACATATTTATATTTAACCTCATAAATTAAAGTACTGTCCTGCCACTGCTCAACATGCAGAAGCGACTTCTGTCCTTGCATCAACTCAACCTGATGGGGCAATAACGGACCTCTTTAAAAACTAATATTATTTGAATCATTTAATGAACATTGCAGTCATACGGTAAAATTAACCATAAACGTAAACAACCGGTAAGTGCTACATTACAGTAATCTAATAACAGATTACCAATATTATTACAGTAAAGCGTTACCTTCCTTTCACTGCTTTGTCATGTGCTAGGCTCAAACTTGACATTAATTCATTCCCCTGTGCCTCCAGCATGAAGTCATGCCACAGAGACATTACACCTGGCCAGGTGATGCCAAAACCCTTATTAACTGTTGCGGCTACAATGTGATGCAAATCTCTGCGTACATGAATGATACACAAAACTTAACCGTCATCAATAAACAATGCCATTTGTCCTAAAAATATAGACGCCAATGTATTCGGCGATGGCCCTCCTTCAGAGCATGCTTTTTTTTTCCTCCGTTGCAGTTGACCAAATATTTCTCACAAAGAGAACCGTCTCAGTGCGGCGCGAACTGGGTTCAAAGGTCACTTTTGTGTATGAACGTTCAACTCAACATCAAAAGGTGTGCGAATTCTTATTCTTGTTTTGGATGAAACGCAGCCTGTCGTTTTAAGTGTGACTGCTGTGGGTGACAGTGCA